TACACCCAATGGTGAGGTATGTACCAAGAACTTCTTGACTCATTTCTCACATCATACACTTCGACTAGTTCAGCATGGTGATTCTTGAGAGGTTTATCGTTGAAACTCTTATAATCACTCTGAAAATGTTGGTCTCTCACAAAACGTCGCTTAAGCTGTTGGAGTCTATTTAAAGCAATAGTTCTATTGTTTGGTAAGATGGGATCTGATCCCTTGAACGGCAAAGGCATTTCGTAATGTCCATCAGGTCCTTGATGTATGCCATTCTCCATTGTTGACAGAAATTCCTTGTCATCTAATGACAATGGGTCACCTGAACACTTTCTGTCATTGAAATCCATTTCCATCATCTTGGATACATCGGCTAGATATACCGGTACTTCCTTGATTGAATTCTTGTAAGATATACACACTCTCTTGGTTTTCTTCTCTGGTTCAGACTGTAACGCACATGGAACGACCACGATGACTGAATCCAACCACTCCACAGTGGTCAATATCCTTATGATGAACAGTTCCAACTATTCCCCAACCTAAGTCTGTTTTTTCTTTGTCCATAGGGATCTTCGTCATTGACTGGTGGAACTACTTCCTTTGGCATGAGTGCACGTGGGCAGTTGTAGCCTATCAACAAACAAACCTCTACATCACATAGAGGTTCGCTTTCCAGATGCTGCAGATGAGACCACATTCTCACTTTACTTGGACTTGGCATGTGCTGTCTATTTGCTGGCATAATGTCTCTGGTGTATGCCGGAGCCAAATTGATTTGCTCACGCTGATTAAAACCACGAATTTGTAGACCACTTATCTTCTGACTGTTGATAAGCTGATCTTCTGCCATCATTGTGGACAACATCAACTGGCAATGACTTACAAGTTTGTCCAGCATGAATGCAGTGTCCGACTGGATGTCCAATAGGGCATAGACTAAACGTTCATATTCAGGCCTATCACGATGCGATACCCACACAGGCAGTATCACAGAACACTGATCAACTTGTCCGCTGTCAACATGACCACTCGCATGACTATCACTGGATTTTGTTGACTCACTTTCAACCTGACTGCTTTGTGTTGTTGTTTCCTTTGCTTTGGTTTGATGAGAGCGTTGAGGCAAAGATGATTCTTTCTGACGGATATTTCCATGAAAGGGTGTCGGGTGGTACCTTCCACAAATGGAGTATTTACTTCTCTTTTGGACAGTTTATAAATCTGTGTCCTGATTTCAAGCAAGCAAAACACAAGTTTCTTTCCTGTGTAAAATCCTTCCTTTGCTGCATGGATATAACCATATATGCTTTACAACTGTCAATATCATGATTGTTCTTGTTACAGCACAGTCATGCTGCGCTAACTTGTGAAGTCTGAAAAACTGTCCGTTTCCTAGATACGGACACAGGATACACGGGATAGTGTGACAGGGTCACACATAATGTCCGATTCTTTCCTTATAAAGGAAACAACTCCTTGAATCGGGGAAGAGAATGCCTCTGATCCCTCCAATTTGCAACAATTCTAACGATAAGTTAGCCACTCAGGTAACAATTCCAACGATAAGTTAGCCACTCAGGTTACCTTGTAATAATCTTTTGATTTTCTCTCTCATCATTCCAGATGTTCAGTGTATTCAAAGACTGCATGGCGATCAAGCACTGACCAAGGCAATCCGAGAGTTTTCGCAAAGCTAAACCGTCTTTACCCTCAATCTTGGGCCATGTATCAAGTTTGTCTCCGAATGCATTGGCGATCACAAAGGGGCTGCCAAATCGTTTCTCTAACAAAGATTTTGCTTCTTTGTATGACTCACTAGTGTTCAGTAACAGAAATCCTCCAACACACTCCTTTGCAGGCCCACCTAAATATTTCTGTAGATAGTAGATGCGTTCTGCAGGCTACACACCTCTACTTTCAATTAATGTCTCAAATGCACGTTTCCAACTGACGAAAGTGATTGGATCACCCGTAAATACCTCAGGTTCAGGGATAGGAAGCCTTCCAAAGGGAGACTTGATCAGCAAAAGGTTTTGTGATTTCTGCAATGTTCAATGAATTGTCATCATGTCTGAATTCAGGAGATAAATGAGGAAGTCTAGTGGACACAGGAGGTGCAGGGCTAGGTTTCCAATTACTCTCTCTAGTTCTAGCTGTAGCAACATGAGGTTCTATAGTGGGAGTCTCGACTGGATAAGAAATCAGGGGATTATTTTCTATATAATCTTTCACATACTCTTCTGCACTTCGTTCTTTCTGAGCCATATTAACGGCCCTAAAATGTATTCCTGGGTCAGATATTGTAGAACATTTCAACGTTGTTGTTTTTTACCGAACTTCATGGGTATGTAAATCTAGTCTTGGATTAGTGTATTCCAAGAAGTGAGCATTGAAAAGGGGGGCAGGGGGGAGAGAAAGAGGCAAGATCCAATTAAACATTGATCAAGAACGAACTCAACTAATCCGTTTATGGATGATATTTGTGTTTAGTCAGCATGTTCGTGTGTTTTGTGTGCTCTCAGTCAAACCTGAACCTATTCGCAAACACCTGGGTTTATCACTGACTTTCAGTGACCCAGTCTTATAATTATCATCTGTAATTTGCCTATGAATGACAGCTGTCGGTAAATAGTCTAGTCGAGACCAATTAATGAAGCTATAATTGAAATCATGGGCTTCGATCTGCGCCACTGGGATACGTTGGAATGCATCATCCAAGTCGGTGACCCTGACCACCCGATCACCACTTACGCCCAGCAAAGGGTTGCAGAAGGCCAATTCTAACCCAAATCTCCACAGAGGGCTATTGGACAAACCAATGTTTATAGTTACACAGCATGAATCTGATATTTATAACCCAATGTCGAGACGTCAACCATTTTGAAGTTCTAATCATCCGATTATTTAAAGTACTGAAAAAGTGAGGATGAATGTGTTTATGAAACAAATATTTGTATTGCTCCTTGGAGATAACTCTTCTTCTTCATAACTCGTCAATTCTAGTTAATAGAGTCGTTCCTAAAATCTATACGTTTGTCTTCGATGGTAAGAATAAAGGGATTTACTAAAATGTCCATTTTCACCATGAAGGGCCATTCTGCCACATTTTATACCAGTCCTTTAAACGAATAAATATCGCTGTCTTGCTCGTTGGCACTTAGTATCAACACACGAAGTTATAACTTATTTTCAATTAGTCCATCCATATGTTTTGCCTTTGCATGTGGATTCTGTGTTGACAGACATCCGAGAGTAATAATTCTTTGGCGCTGAACGTTTGAATAAATTCTTGTGAAAAACTATAATATTTCATATTATAACACAAGGTAGTGTAAATATACATTGGGCAAAAGAGATTTGTACAAAATCAGGAGGATAGAGACGTAGTATAGAGCAGCGGTCACACAGTAAAAACCCTTTCGTCCGGAGGCTATATCTTTGGGACATGATGGAAGCGTTTGTTGGGGCCGACTACTTTGTTGTGGGGGAGGGGCGGGAGTGGCCTGGGTTACGTATATTGTCAGCTACAACTGCAAATTCATCCTATTGTCGTTTATCAGCTTCGTATCACTGATTTTGGGAACCTGCTTAACTAAGGACTCTCTAAAAAAACTGAAGCTGGCACGTCGTGAATAATAAAATACTGTGGAAATTAAAGCGTCGAAAGTCTTTCCACATTCATAGGAAGTCTCTGCCAAAAGCATAGTCGATTGTACAATTGTGACTAAAGCAGAGCAGATATTTGTTTCAGCAGTATTGTGATGTATGATGTTGTTTGTAAACAAATCGGGTCTTATCCAGACAATCCAGTGATTGTCACCATGCGATCCGATGACAGAGCATGGTGACAATGAAATAGTGATGATACCAGGTGTTTGCGAAAAGGTGAGCGTATCCCCAAGCTGATCTTTTGGCTGGCTGGCACGTCATCGTTCTCTCAGTACAAAGGTCTATTAGGTACTATGCCGCATTTAAGATGAATATTTCAGGGCTTTATTGCAACTAAACGTGCATTCATTTGAAAATGTAACCCATCAGAATCGAGTGTGTGATTACCACTGTGAGCTGCCGTGCTATATCTACACTGACACAGTTTTCACTCCCAGTAGTCAGGAATGTCTGTGATCTGCAAGGCTAGCTATAGAGTTTCAAACGCTTACGTAACATGTGGGCTTGATTATTTAATCAGACATCTGTGAATACGATTTTATTGGAAACGGTATCCTCCAAATCAACCCGGTTTTATGGTTATCATTGCTGACATGTGTCAGAACATCGGAAACTATACATGTAGTCGTCTTTCAGGACAATCATCGTGCTTTCTTTAAAGCACCCCACAGGCTTTTGATGAAAAGGATTCTGGTAGGTTAGTTATGCGGTGTTCAGGACCTGGAGGTATTGTGTTATCCTCACACCCGGTGTTTAGGTTATGTGACCACAGCACTAGGAAACATCTTTAATGTTAAGAAGAATGGTGTTTTATGAGTGAATGAGTTAAAATTTAACGCCACATGGGCAATATTTCAGCCATATAGTGACGAGAAAGGTTTTGCATAAACAATAATATAAGTTGTTAAATAATCAGTCATCGAAGGACCGTAAAATAACTAGAGTATCACAGATGGTGTCTAGAACTAGCATGGAAATCTATCACCATTACAGTTATAAAGACAATAAAATATAAAAACAGGCTATAGTTCGCCAACAACCGTAGGTAGATCACCATACTAGGTAATGGTGTTTTATGAAACTCCTGAGTGAATGGGTATGGTTTTACGCCGCTTTTAGCAATATTCCAGCAATATCACGGCAGGGGACACCAGAAATGGGCTTCACACATTGTACCCGTGTGGGGAATCGAACTCGGGTCTTCGACGTAACTAGCGAACGCTTTAACCACTAGCCTACCCCACCGCCCCATGAAATTCCTCAGAAATTGTATGAATATCCACTACCTACACAAATTGGTAAAGATGAATATAATTGTTAAAAACGACACAACATTCCATTTCCATTGATTTAATCCCTGATCAAGCATTTCACGTACATCCACAGACCCATGAGGACCACAATTTGTTTAAAATACATTATGCTAAAAATATAAATGACGATAATCACCTATGCATTGTAAGCAAACAAATGATTAAAAATATATGATAGGTATAGCTTAAAATATTGTACAAATACATCTCCGGAAAATGTATCACGCTTATACAGTGACAGATGAACCAAAATTACACTTTCTAAAGTGCAGTCGAGTTTATAAATGTTTCAAGAAATGTGTAATGAGATAACAAACATGCTGTTCTATTCCCTTCTTTACCAGTGACTATACAGGCAGAGAAACCAATATGAAGTAGCTTCAGCTCACGGTAGATTTCGCATATTATACGTATATTCTATATATTCACAGCTGGCATAAGAAAACAGTCAAACATGTTATCCTTGGATATTCTTAACAGGTGCCCGCCTGTTGATGAGACAAACGCCAAGGAGAAGACAGACTCCAAGGAGGACGAGGACAACGACAGCCAGACCAATTACTGCGGCTGTTAGATTGATGGCACCACTCTGTGCAACAGCGTCTTGAACAGCACTCTTCACTGGAAGGAAATAGTTTCATACATAATAATGTGTGTGAATAAGATTGATACATTCAGGGTGTTATGGGCACTCTTAGCAAAAAAGAATAATGTTTTAGATTTTCTTTCTTTTCGAATGATGTTCATAATGAATACACACAATGTTATAAGCGTCAGCGTCAGAGAATTACCAGTATGGATTATCTGCCGCACCGATTCCGTTGAGTGTAAAAGGTAAAGTAGCAGTGAAAATTGTATGGCTGGATCACTGAAAACCAGTGTTCGCCAAGCTTGTGAGCATGCCCTGCTCTTCTTAACAGGTTCGTCATTGTTGATAATGACTTACCCTCCGATGTTGCAAATGGATCCTTGACTCTGATATATGTCACAACCGTTTTTTGTTCTGTTGAGTTAGACGAGGCGGTTATTTCTCTCTTCTTACGGCCGAAACCGGACTCTCCATCAGTACAGGTTACCTAAAAAACAAAAATATAATTAGAAAACAATAAAAACTTGATCGATCAATCTGTATTTAACCGACACAATCGTCATAGTTTGATGTATATATCTACAATCTGGAAAAATAGTGAGGAACCTACATAAGCAATGTATCAAAGAGTGCTGAAATATTTTTCTTGTCGTTTTACGAATTTTCAGATATGTTTGAAGCTTCGACACATGTATATTTTCGAGTTTAGAACAAACATTTAATCCATCGCTGAGTAAGACAGTCACCCAGATTGCACATCATAAACCTTATGTCGTCATTAGTCTGTTCCCGTGACATTATCTGGCTCAGAAGCCCACTTACTGACTATCAGTTTCCATATTCAATCCACATCACCAAAAATGACAGTAACTTCGTATCATGTACATGTACTTACCAATGCGCATTCGGTCATTTGTCTGCAGATAAGAACTGAACACTCGTAAGTGACGGTGATACTTCCTGTGAATTTGATAGCTTCTGTCTCAATTATGACTGGACTGCCACCTGTACGCGAGGTGCCTTGAACAAAAGTCTTTGTGGGACAACTGCAGTAAAAGAATTCAAGTGAAAATTTAGGCTTTTGATGCGAGAAATGAAAGTTATCGATAGTAAAATTAATTTATTTGTATACTTTTGATCTATAACGTACCTGTTTGCAATAAATTCAACTTCATTAGATCCACCGTCTTTGGCTTTGCACGAAAGCACACGTATTGCAGCAAAATCTGTTTGTAACATGTTAGAATCATCGAGGTAGTCAATGAAATTTAGGAGTACCATCATATCAATATGCAAGATATATCATACTTAATATCTGGATTTCGCTGATGATAATAAGACAAGGGCCCACATTAAGGTCAGTTCAATATTTCCCTAAAGTAAAAAAACCCGTATTAAACGTAGGCCAAAATACACGTCAGTATTTCTATAAAGTTACGAAAACAATAAACCTAATCTGGGCTTGGGGTGATGAATATGTTATGACATACACAGAGGTATTCCTGTGTTACTAACCAGACAATGATATTCAAAGAGGTTGCGATGATGTAAATATACATTATATAAAATCATGTATACCAGTGGCAGAATCAAGTGTGAATTCCAGTTTAACAGTCGAACCGATATCAACTGCAGACCCAGTGATGATAGCGGCGTCAGTACCGTCCTTCATCGCAACTGTCACGACATCAGCCCCTGCAGGGTCTGCATTGACGTCTGTTGTAGACAGTCCACTGAAATCAGTTGAGTTTAAAAAAATACTGAATTCGAATTGTGTTGACACCATGTAACCTTTTTTAATGAACAGTTCATTACACAAAAATCGCTTTAATAGTAGTCAACTATGATATTGTATTGCCAGGGCTGCTTTATATTCATTTATATAAAGAACAGTATATAACAGTTCGGTTGATCTTTTATACAAATTGTGTAAATCCAGCTAGGGTCCATGCAGGAAGCAAATGTACTGTAAGTCCCCATGGTCCCTAGTATGGTGATCTACCTTTAGTAGTTAGCAATCTACAGCCTGTTTTTATATTGTATTGTCATTTCTAGTTCCAATATTTTAGATTTAATTGCTAGTTTTAAATGGATATCTGTGATACACTAGTAGTTTTACTGTTCTTCGTCAACAGGTTTTTTAATTTCTAACTTTATTCATCTTTAATATAATTTTAAAATGTTCTCGTCACGATATGGCTGAAATATTGCCGATGTGACGATAAATATTAACTCACTCACTTTTATACAAATTCTAGATTTATTATAATTCAGTTGACTGCGAATGTATGTCAGTTTTGTGTGCAAGTCTGCAGGTGAGGAAGGATTGTGGTTTTGTTGAGACATGGGGCTGCTACAAATGCACTATCTTTTACGAATACTTTATGGTTACTATCTAGGAATTACAATAACAAGCATGTCATGCAATTTGCTTAGGTTGAAACATTTAAATGATTGCTATCAAACACACACACACACACACAAAATGTAATAAACAATTCCGCTTATCGGCTAATGACAGTGTCGCGAGGGGTCCGCTTTGTATAGAGTGGCTCAATGCATTCTTAAACAATTTTTTTACCAATGTATAACGCTGTATTTTTTGCATTTAAATGTAATGAGGTGAGACTTGAATAAACTGTCTGCCTGTTTTCAAAATAACAGAAGTCACGTGCATGGCGTGGATATATTTCATTTTTGCGTATCTCACTCAGATAAATAATGAACTGTTCCAAGTGAAAACACTGTCTTCAACACATTCGTAAATATTCCACTCCAGTGACCACAAACAATGCATTAAATTACAGAATACGCGAATGAATTGTAAGAGAACTAATTTTAACAGAAGAAATCGTAAAATGTGGGCCACATCAGGACATCAGAACCAAAATCAAAGAGTGGACATTGGATCAGGATTTTACAGGTCGGATCCTCTCGGTGATGCATCATCGTGCACCGACAGTGTTCATTGCTGATCATGCAGTTAACAACTGGGCGTGTTATTCAGAGGTAGCCGTTTTGTAGTTGGGCTGTTGCTTGTGGCGGCTTAAAACAACATTCACAAACTCACGCCCTTCTGTCAGATGATACTCTTCACGACGATTAAAGAATTGATGAAGTTGTTAATGATAAGGCAGACAATATTAGTGATAAGTGAACACTGCATAACATATTTTGTCGGTAATACAGCAAGGTACTATGTTGAGCAGTTTGTACAACATCTCTATGTACTTATCGAGATAATGAAAACATATATTGTTCGGAGGTTTTTCAACATAACATAACTTTATACTTTACAAAGCATTAACTTTGGAATATATTATATATTTTAAAATAATATAAATGTGTAAAGGTTTGTAATTGCGAGAGCGGCGACAAGTAATAATCACTTGCTCGCTCGCTTCCTATTTGGCTCTGATCCGGTACTTAGGTTTGACTCTCAACAATAACTTTGCTGTGACGTATTAGTTCTCTTGTAACTGTTGATTTTGTTTCTTTCAAGTATGTTTCTAAGACAAAAACACGAAATCACACTCACTTTTCTGTCAAGGACAAGAGCTCGCTGGTAACTGTTTGCTTTTCATCGCCGCAGCAGAATTGGGCCTCAAAGTCGACTCCAGTCAGATACAGGGGTTCGTACCGGCAAATCACCGTAAAGCACTTAGTTGCCACGCCATCGGCATCCTGAAATGTATAATTATATGACCTCCTGTTGAATTTATTGATAAATGTATTATTATATGACCTCCTGTTGAATTTATTAATATGCATATTTCTGATTCAGGGAGGATGGTGCTGTGTACGTATGCATTACTACATCACGTTGTCATTCATCTCTATGAATGATAATTATTTCAGAGTATTATAGCATGAGAGTATAATAGGTACAACAGTCGTTCCAAACCGTTGTTTCTGTCGGCGATCCACAGTTAGTGGCATCTGTCAGGGATGCTTCCAGGAAGTCTCCCGTCCAGCCCGTTGGTGCATCGGTGGGCACAGTCGTAGAAAAGCTGCAGGTGCTCTCAAACCCCTTCACATAACACGTTGGGGTACCCGGTACGTTGACGTTCAGAATGTGTGAGCCAGCTGCCGAACAACTCACATCCACTGCAATTCCATATGACTGAGTTAATATCTCATTAACCCCACTATATCACAAGGTTTTGCGTACCATATAAAGCTGCCATGTCTCTGAATAACATGCATTTATAGGCTGAACTATTATGTCAAAATACATTTAGGAAAGATCATTCAAAATTATATGAAAAAACGAATCAGATTCTAACAGTTAACGTATTTTGTTTGCTAACACAAACATATTTAAGCTGTTCTATGATGTTAGTAAACATTTCAAAACATACAAAGTTCACCTTTCTCTGAAGGAAGAACCACAATCAATGTTTATTGACGGCATTTCGGGCGCAGAACATTTAAGACATTTATAGATAACCCGACACTGCAGTTGTAGAGTCACCTTCATATTTGTGAACAGGGAATCTAGGAACTCCTATCGTCATGTGTTAGTGTTCGTCACGGAGAGTCCTTGGATGGATGACCGTGCCTGACAGCTTGACTCCTGAGAGTATCTAGGACTTCTGTCCTGCCCCACATTGAAGCACCTAATGTGGTCATAGAGTGAGTTTGTTCAAAATTGCCTCTGTTCATCCAGCAGAAAATCGGTACCCGGCGGTATAAGTCATATGAATTTTAACTTTCTAGCGCCTCGCAGGCAGCTTGGGTTATTCGGGGAAATTGTGTCCATCATGTTGTATGCACTTAGAGCATGTCCCTGCGTCGTGGATGTCAGCGCTATATAAGTTGCCAATTATGTTTTACAGATTAAAGATAGTATGCTGCAGAGAGGGTTCATCTGATCCTGGCACCTTCAGGCTGGTAAGGCTAATCATCAGGTGTCTACAGGCTCTCTACACGCAGCCCAGACAGCGACTTCTCCCAGGAAACACTGCCCAGTCGAACCCACCAAAAGCTTTCCGGAGAATATGTAGACTCCCCAACACTGCAGCCTTCTGCATTACACAGATCGTCAGAAGGGCTGTACTCCCGGTGGAGAACCAGGGCACCAAACCAAAGGCACCGAGAACAATGTGGAGCCTGACGATAGTGTACCGAGAACAATGTGGAGCCTGACGATAGTGTACTTAGGAAGCAAGCGAGATATTTCAAAGGCGATGTACGATAGTGTACTTAGGAAGCAAGCGAGACATTTCAAAGGCGAGGTCCGCATATTTAGCATGCTTTTCCTGAATCTTGCCAATCACGTTGCTGTCAAAATGGACAGAAAATCCATTGGCCTTATCAAAAAAGGACAAGATCAGGTTTGTTGGTTGTGGTAGTTACTATATTTAGACTGGGAGTCAAACTAATGTGAAAATCCTCTACAGCAGCCACGATATTCCAGCATAGCCTAACCCAACATATAAGGGAGTGTTTCTGAATAGATGTATATTATATCTAAAAGAGACATACTAGCCTTGCTCCAACGCTGAGCCCATGGATGTATAGTAATTTTATCCTTCCAAGAGGCAAGTCTAGATAAGCGGATCCCTGTGCTATTTATTATTTTTTAGAATGCATCATTTAAACTATTAATTGTTACCTTAAAGACTTGTGCAATACTAGGGGCGTGCTTATATCATCTCGCATTACATGAAAACCAACAGACTGTGAAGATCGCAATTTTCACCCTGGACAGCACTCTTACCGCCTCTGTGGTGTAGTGGTTAGAGCGTCCGCCCGGAGAGTGGAAGGTCGCGGGTTCGAGACGTTAAAATGTGGTACTTGTTGGTCCCTGCCTGGCGCTCGGCATAATGGGTACAACAAGGACTGGTCGGCTCGGAGTCAGTATAATGTGTCTGAGTGGGGTATTCATGCTTCACTGCGGCATGGTATCTCAGTGAGCTAGCACTATAAAACCAGCTTAAGTGTGGGCTAGTACAAGCAGCCGCGCATCCACATACACAAGCATGCACGTCGTCATATGAGCGAAATATTCTCAAGCACGACGTTAAACCCAATTTCACCTCACCTCACCTGTCACTCTATTTTGTTCTACCATTGTAATTCATCAGCAGTAATGTGTCTTGATTTATAAACTTAGTTAATTTTAGAATACAATTGTTAATTGTGTAGCAATTCTTTGTGGTTTGTTGGTTTTGCGCCTCGCCCTTTTACGTGCAGATATCGGGTTAACGTATTGAATCAACAGGTAACGATGTCAATGATCAAAAGCAATGATGGAAGCACATGAAACTGCCAGACATATATTTAGAAAATATGGAAATGTATACATTGTTTTTGCGAAGGTGTAGAGTAGGCTAAATTACGATATTGTCCTGAGATGACAAAACCCTGTCATAATCACCCAGTGTTCAGCATAACTAGTAAACAGGTGAAGAGTTTTCCTTCTCAAGTTTAATAAAACTTACAATACAAAGGCGGAATGTGCACCTACATGTTTTGTACTGGCATTTGGGTCCGTAGAACTTCTCAGTGCAAGCACACGTGGTACCACCTGAATTGCATATCGACCCAGTGCCCTCGCATGCACATCCTGTGCCAAAGGTAACAATATCTGAAAAAAACAAACACTTTCTAGTATTCAAGGTCAATGCGCAGCTCTGCATATAATACAATATTTCATTGACTGGATTCACAACTGACGTAATTTCTGTACTGTATTAATCCGTTGACGAAAAGGAACCCCATGAACGGAATTAGAACTTGAAAATGTGTAACAGTTCGTGTGAGTTTGGAGGATTTGTGGGCGTCTTTACTGATTCATAACGTTTATTAGGGATAATCATTAGGGCTCCTCTCCTTCTTAAACGCCCCGCATATGGTCATCTGTTTGTAACTATGGTTACAGCATGTTTCAGTTTTAATAGTTTCGCCAACGAGTGTCTAATGTTTATATATGCTATAATTTCATATTTAGTCATTTACAGTTCTTTACGAGTAATCACCAAAATATTACTATTACATTTTGAAAAGTTGTACTTATTGTTACCATGTCTGCCTTTCGGTTTTAAGGAATAAACAGTGACAGGTTCCCCTGACGTCACTATACCGAATCTTGATTGGGATGCTAAAACACATTAAAATGCAACTCTCCCAACTAGTCTGTGACTTATATTTATCTGTTTATGACCACATACCTGTCCCACAGTTATACAGCCCATTGGGAGATACACATTCACAGTCTCCCGTGGCACCACACGTGTCAGCTGCACAAACATCACTAGTCCTTAAACAGTTGAATTCTGAAATAAATAGTATGGAACAACTGTTATTGACAAATGATACTTCCCTCAAAGTAAATAACGTATTATAAGTAAATTATAAAGATAGCTGTCTCTTGATTGTGTAAATGTGATGTTTTACTTCAGTTTTACCATATATGAGCCCCCTTCTATCATTCATAGTCAAAATGTCACTAGTTTGACCATGAAAGTGTTCTTTTCATGACAATAATCAATCTACTATGGATTTTACATTCATTCCATTTAATCCCCGCCTGAAGATTAAATAGACAATACCGCGGCTGGATCTTACACGTTTGCCAATGCAATTAAACTTCAAATCCATGCATGCAGTGGAGAATGAAAAATTAATTAAGTTGGTATACGAAACAACCAATGACAAACTTACCCACCGTGGACTGGACCTGCACAAAAGCAATTCCAATGATTCCTAAAAGTTGCAGTAGTCTTGACATCGTGTTATGATGATGTCTGTATAAAGAGGGAACAACAACATCATGCACACCACAGCATTCTGTGGCTAACAACTTAACAAAATAGAAACTGCTCTATTATATGTTACTGTTTTGATACATCATAAGTTGTCCACCATCCTCGAGGAGAAAAGGGGGGCGGGGGTATGTAAATTAGACAGAGCCCTCAACCCGCGTCACAGGTAACACAGCATGTATGTTTCTGCATACCTCCTACTGTGATCAGGCACTGTAAATGGTTTCCATCATGGACATTCTACTGTGAACTCACTGACATATTGCTGATTTCTGCTAACGTCATTCACTTCTATATTCTATTTTTCACTATCTTTACGAAGCAAGGTTTAGTAATAGTCTATTTCGAGGAGAACATTTTAAAAGAAGGCTATCATAGATGTATACGGAAAATAAAATTTTAAGATATGAAAGTGAGTATACAAAACCAAAAAGGACAAGAATTGATTTTCGTTTGTCATTGGGAACAATACCCGTACAAATGAAGACTGCACTGGTACCCCGTTAGGACGTTTTACAGGTTAGTTCGTATTGGGTTAGATTGTTGTTGCATCGAAGTCTCCTGTGTGTGAGTGTACACCTAGCATTTGAAGACCTGTACCTTCTCTTTGATGTATAGTGTATTAATAAATAGTTTCCGTTCTGAAAAGATTTTGTATCATATCTATGGCCATGTTCAAATATTTGTTCCTATCGTAAATTTAATATTTATATAAAAGAGAGGCATCACTTTTATATGTTCTATTGAGTTGAGTTGTCTGTTTCAATTTCCCATACATGATAACTTTCAGTACAATACATTGGACAGACATGGCACGATTACATAACAAACTCAACACAGTTCTCGTGTAACATATACAGCGATCAACTGACAAGAGGGCGATCTTGGCAACATAATGATTCCATGAGTGCCCAATGGGTCTGAGCAGTGTTATCGCTGTTCTATAACTCAAAATGAGAATAACCTCTGCTCATCGACTGGTGGCGAGTCATTCATCTAGTGTATGAGCCATCCATAAAATCACCTGGTACAACCATTATGTGGCACAACGAAAACAGAATCTTACAGTGCAGCATGCTTATTGTTGAATTATTGAACATGGCGGAAACGTCTACTATAAGAAGCAATTGTATCAGCTGTATCAACTTTATATGTTAAATATCACAAAATAACCCCCTGAATGAATGCGTTTTGATTAAGTGGGTCAAATACACATATGTAGTTTCTGATATACATGTGTTTTATATGTGTTTTATGTGTGTGTGTGTGTGTGTGTGTGTGTGTGTGTGTGTGTGTGTGTGTGTGTGTGTGTGTGTGTGTGTGTGTGTGTGTGTGTGTGTGTGTGTGTGTGTGTCACTCCCAGGGGATCGTATTTATAAACATGATTGGCTATAGATTGACAAACACATCGAGCTGTGTTATGTTTTGAATAAATACGTCATGGTCCCAACAGTTAACTCACATCATTAAACTCGCTGAAGCGCTCCTTATATACCCAGCAAATCATGTAAATTAGACGTTAAGTATTCATGTTATTTGTTTAGCACGATAACCAGTAGGATACACCTACACACGAACATAAACGGACACGCGCACACACACACACACACACTGACACGAACATAAACACTCACACACGAACATAAACGGACGGACGGACACACACACACTGACACGAACATAAACGGACACACCCACAGCAAATAAACTCTCTTCATAAAACAAAAAGTTTCCATAATCGTAAAAGCACACAGTAGATATTAAGCAAGCGGATGCGCATCGGATCAACGGCATGTAACCTGGGCTGCTGAAACTTACCTGTATGTAACATTAAACCATACATTAACATTACTATTTACAATATCACAAGGAAACCAACCATACTTAACGAAAGATCAATTAAACTAAAGTTTACAGTCTGCGAGCTTAAAGTCTTAATGAGCACAGAACCCGCATTTGCTGCAATGCATGTAAAAACAAAACACATTGTCATAAAATGATGGAACATATATCTTGTAGCATCAAATATATCGTACATTTTATGTTTCATCATTGGTTATTACTTTTAAAAAAATAGAAATAAGCTGCGTTATCCAAATGGATGGAGTTTATAGAAAATGATATAATAAAGATACGAATAATAGCATAGCGTAGAGAAAAAAAATACAAAAAGATGAAAACCTACCTGTAGCTTCTAACGTTGGCGTATTTTGAATCGTCTTCAGCTATACCTTCAACTTGTCTCATCCTCGACCGAACCCTTACCCATTTATATGGAAAAAAGAAAACCACGCCCCAGTCCCACAAAAACAAGCCCATGCTGTTCCTCTCTACTGCCTGTTGAGAATACCCCTCACGACTATTGGTCCATGCCGGGGTGGGGACGCATCTCTTTATTATGTATTATGACTGTATCAACCAATTGTGTATTCCACTGCAACAAAGAGTATATATTTGGAACCCTATAAAAAGGAAAACACGTTATAAAACATTCACAGACCAACTTCAAAGGTTATGTTGATTTCTACATACATTGTCGGACAGACACAAGTGAAAACTGATGTTTAAATATTGCTGATGTGAAACACGTTAACAACAACAATAATGGTTATGTTTGTGATACAGGTACAATAGTTGTTTCTGACCTTAAGTTTCCTGTGTTACGGCAGTTTTCAACTTTTAAATCCTGGTTTTGGTAAAATTGTACTATTTCGTCAAAATGTCAAGTGTGTAATGCCCGGCAACTAATTGCAAATTTTAACATTTCTTTTTAGCCAACACTTATTTCAGTACAGGGATGGGGTAGCCTAGCGATTAATGCGCTCGCTCGTCTCGCTAAAGCCTCGGGTTGATTCCCCACATGGGTACAATGTGTGAAGCCCATTTCTGGTGCCCCTCATATATAGCGGTGTAAACCCAACCCACTTCATTACTCACTATTTCATCACAAGGCAACGATTTTTCACTACATATTTGTCGAGACATTTCTTTTTAGTATCTTTCAAAAACTGTTGGACACAAAGGTATGTGGCGATGACGTTGATAATGACGATGGTTCCCCTTTAATTTTCAAAAGGTTTTATGGGAGACACATAAAGGACACTTCCTAATTCGACGCATATGTCCTGTCCAATTTCTTAATTTGTCTTGTACCATACGTTCCTGTAGTTCAAGTTGCCTAGCCTTTGCGTGTGTTTATGACGGGTGTCACCTGTGAGGCACCAGGTATCACCTGCGAGGCACCAAGTGTCAGCTGTGAGGCACCAGGTATCGCCTGTGGGGCACCAGTAGTCAGCTGTGGGGCACCAGGTATCACCTGTGAGGCACCAAGTGTCAGCTGTGAGGCACCAGGTATCACCTGTTAGGCACCAAGTGTCAGCTGTGAGGCATCAGGTATCACCTGTGGGGCACCAGGTATCACCTGTGAGGCACCAAGTGTCAGCTGTGAGGCACCAGGTATCACCTGTGGGACACCAGGTATCACCTGTGGGGCACCATGTGTCAGCTGTGAGGCACCAAGTGTCAGCTGTGAGGCACCAGGTATCACCTCCTGTGGGGCACCAGGTATCATCACTGTTAGCTAGTGATTCATGAACACTGGTTCATGATACAGTCGTATGGAATCCTGGAAGGGACATTGTCGCGTTGTCGCATTGTCGCCCTCTCAAATACAAGCATAATTAAACAAAACGCGACACGCGACATCGCGACAACGCGACATTTCGCCCATTTGTCGCATTGTCGCGATATCGCGTTTCGCGTTTTGAATAATATATTTTTTCATTCCTCCAAAGGGCGACACGCGACATAGCGACAATTTCAGTCGGGATTCACTAATCCCTTTTGCTTTTCGCAGATGTTTCTTGAAGATGTGGAAAAAAGTTGTTTTACATACATGTAAAGCAGGGTGAAATGAAGTCGACAAATATGCAACTTGTTTTAAAATTAGTGTCAGTCACTGCATTGTCTGGTCCAGACTAGATTGTTTACAGACTGCGTCGTACCACTCTAATAATGCTGAATGTGCCTTCACACAAACGCATGCTCATGATAAAGTCACAATTGCACAATCGACTCGCGTTAAGTAGAAATCTATTACGAAATTGGAAACAGTGTTGTCGTATGACTGTGGGTTATCCCATATTTACCGATATATGTATCCAGTTTTGTCAAGTTACAGACCTATACGACTTCGGCTAACCTCTTACCTCCTACTGAATGAGTGTTCAAAGACAACTTAAACAAACTCACTCGCATGAGAAGCATTACGTAAATTGCGGAAATTTCCAATAATGGTAATGGAACTCTCACTTTGTACTCTGAAGTACTTTTTATCACTTTGCTAGCGGCCTCAGAAGCCACCACTCACAGTAGCAGATTAAATCTTTGTTTTGACAACTAATAAGTTGTCCCACGCTGGCCCCCACGTTCACACCTTCTTAACGAGTTCACCCGGAGTGTCCTCTGAATTTGGTTAATACATAACAGACAGGGGGGCCACTCTGGGAACACATCGTCAGTATTACATCTGATGAATGTGTCCGTGGTGTTCATGAAACAACATTTTGTGAAGGTCCTTTCACCCACTACTCTAAAGAGTAGGTTCGATACTCTCAACCTCTGCCTCTAAACGGGATGTGGAAGGAGTGCAGGCCCACAACCAGTAGACTTCAGGTTCATACACCGGTACTACACACTCGTCCGAGAGGGCAAGTCCGACACTCTCAGTCCATGGTGCTAGTGTTTTCAATCTTACACCGGCGCTATACGCTCTCCCGCTACTCGATGTCCTAATTTGGTTTCTTACCTCTCCCTCCATAGTACTATACACTCTCCCACTTCCCCAAGAAAGCAGATCCGACACTCTCAGTCCACAGCTCAATGTCCTGATTTTGTTTTTAACTTCTCCCTGCTTTCTTATCCCTTGTATGTTAGCCGTTTAGTAACATCAATGATGACATATACATGTACCTGCATCTTTACGCCTTGTAGGTAAGCCCTTCACTGACATCGCTAATGACATATAACTGTATCCTTACCCCTTGTAGGTAAGCCCTTTACTGACATAATCTATGACATATAACTGCATCCTTACCCCTTGTAGGTAAGCCCTTCACTGACATAATCTATGACATATAACTGTATCCTTACCCCTTGTAGGTAAGCCCTTCACTGACATAATCTATGACATATAACTGTATCCTTACCCCTTCTAGGTAAGCCCTTTACTGACATCGCTAATGACATATAACTGTATCCTTGCCCCTTGTAGGTAAGCCCTTCACTGACATAATCTATGACATATAACTGTATCCTTGCCCCTTGTAGGTAAACCCTTCACTGACATAATCTATGACATATAACTGTATCCTTGCCCCTTGTAGGTAAACCCTTCACTGACATAATCTATGACATATAACTGTATCCTTACCCCTTCTAGGTAAGCCCTTCACTGACATAATCTATGACATATAACTGTATCCTTACCCCTTCTAGGTAAGCCCTTTACTGACATCGCTAATGACATATAACTGTATCCTTGCCCCTTGTAGGTAAACCCTTCACTGACATAATCTATGACATATAACTGTATCCTTGCCCCTTGTAGGTAAGCCCTTCACTGACATAATCTATGACATATAACTGTATCCTTATCCCTTGTAGGTAAGCCCTTCACTGACATCGCTAATGACATATAACTGCATCTTTACCCCTTGTAGGTAAGCCCTTCACTGACATAATCTATGGCATATAACTGCATCCTTATGCCTTGTAGGTAAGCCCTTCACTAGCATCATCTATGGCATATAACTGCATCCTTATACCTTGTAGGTAAGCCCTTCACTGACATCATCTATGACATATAACTGTATCCTTATACCTTGTAGGTAAGCCCTTCACTGACATCGCTAATGACATATAACTGTGTCCGTATACCGTGTAGGTAAGCCCTTCACTGGCGTCGCTTATGACATGACGCTGTGTAAGTCCTGAGTTTATTTCATTACCCAGGGGCTGTATTTCCTGTACCTGCATCACTTTCCCCAGTGTGTTGTACTATTCATGGTAAAATTCGTGAAATTAGTTACCGTCCGTCAACGAGATGTGCGTGAAGGATTTAACTAAACGAACAAAAGACTCCATGGAAGGTTAAAATATTTCTACGAGTATTATGACTGCAAACCAGTAGTTGATGAAAGTGTCTTTCCACAGTGAGTGAGTGAGTGAGTGTCAGGCGGCAGTAATTTTACGTCGCTTTTAGCTGTTTCCAAGCAATATAAAGGTGGGGGACTCTAGAAGAACATCACCGCCACAACTGTTATGTAAACACTGAGAATTTGTAGCGGGTAATGACTTAGTTCTTCTGCTCCTTTTAAACAATACATTTGTTGTCAAAATGTGTTATAAATCAAATGTGATATGTTATAAGGATAATTATTTTGATGCTATCTTTATGATAAATGTTTACCCTTCTCATATAACCACACTACTAATCAGTTTTCCTCCTTTCTTTGTCAACAGGGGACGTTAATTTCCAAACGCTTAACAGCCTAAGCACGTAACATTAAACTGCTTATCGCCTGTTTGCGCCGGCATACCGACCTCACACGGTCTGGCATGTAGTCAAATATATTACACCACGTGATCAGCTACGTCATATCTCTTCCTGGTTTCAACATTGCACCTCACTACCACATTCTCTGCAGAAGCAGTTGATTACATCAGCTCCCATCACAGGTAAGATACCTTCAATATAGCTGCTAAGTAAAACAAAGTGACGTTTCAAATTCCCATGAAACATATAGTAGGATATAGCTTTTATGCATCTTTGTTCTCAGTAATACTATATATATAGATATAGATAGATAGAGATAGATACATAGATAGATAGATATAGATACCCGGTAGATAGATAGAGATAGATAGAGATATAGATATATATATATATATATATATATATATATATATATATATATATATATATATATATAGGTATACTATTAGATATATACGTTAAATATGCAGATACCAAAATCTGATTAGGTAATACGAGATATTTCGTATTGATACCTATTGGTTGTATCGACCAGTATATTAGAGAATCTATATACGTACGCATCCTACATCTGACCGTAATATTTATTTACACTTGCGCTCCTTTCTTGGCTTCCTTTGAATCTGGCCTAAAGACCCAACTATTTCATTATCACTGACAATTGTTCATCTCTAAAGATGCTAAGAGCGTGGTTGCGGCGTGAATTTTAGCGTCATGTAAGTGTCCTTATACTGTGAGATGTCGTGTCGGATTCAGTATTACGTACGCACGTACGCATCAGTGGAACCCTCTGGTTTCATGCTGAAGCTAAGCGGGTCAATGTCTGTTCGACTTGTCCCCGCACCTAAACGTGATATTCAGTATATGTGTTGGGCGCTGCACGTCGGATCGACGTAAGTCAACAAAGTGAGACAGCGCAAACTCATATCTTATTCAATGTGGAATTACATATTATACCTTCAGCGACAACTCAGCCCGAATTGTCAGCTTGGTTTACTTTGATCGATTGATCTTTATGGAGACGGTGATTTATCGAGTGTTAGACCTGCCTTGTGTAGCGATAGGAGACGACCAACAGCATTATTTCGGAGTAGAACAGGTTTCTATCGGATCACAATCTGTACACCCTAATTCGTTTGGGGGTGGTAGTTATGTGTGAGTGTTGATGGTAGTAGTCCGTGTGTGTGTGTGTGTGTGTGTGTGGTTGGTATGGTGGGTGGGTTGCTATGTTAATTCCCCGTGCACACTTAGGCGTCCAGGATACCGGGTGTCAAGGACATCCTAACCTTGAACCTTGATGTGGCAATTATGTTCATGTCTATCAGCAGAAGTAGATGATCAATATTTATCAAGGCGTTTTCAGTTGTTGGGCATGATATGTATTTCAATTGCATACGGACGTATCATATATCATGTCGCGTTTACAAATGTAAATAAAAGGTGAATGTGAATATAACGACAAAACCCTCTCCACATCCCTAAGAAATTTCTGCTAAAGGAAGAGTCGATTTACAGTTCGACTACATCACAATCACAATCAACTAGTGTCGATACCAGATGTTTGCAAAACGATGAGCTTATCCTGCCCCACCGGTGGCGCCTGTCATAAACTATGAATGCAAAGGCTAGGCAACTGTTCAACTGAAGATATCGACTGATTTCACCACATATACCCACCTGTGTGTTATACTAGTTGCCCTTTTCATGCGCGCATAAATGTATTAAGTATATGGCGTTCCCGCTATTAAGGAACCAAGTAAATATGACAAAATACATTTGCCTTGTGTTTTTCATGATACTTAAAGGCAACAACGTGATATACACTTTCACATACAAGAAACGCATAGGTGATATTGATATGTGGAATTTCAAACAATAAGACTTTAAATTATTGTTATAATTTCGCCTTTATAATGCTGGTTTGTGTACATGGGACGCATGGCATGGTATGGCATACCGCAAAAAACGCACGTTTACGTTCGAAAGTGTCAATGGTCACAGGCATTGCAAGAGGAATGGGCCAGAACTTCACAAGGCGGAATTCGAAAACGTATTTAGTCCATGCCGAGACGGTGCAGAGCAGTTTTGGGCCTCATGGTGATACCATGAGATATTGAAGACAACGTTACGCCCAAATGGGAACGGACGCCTTTTCGTATTGAATGTTTTTATAAGCTATGCATGTTCTTTAATACTGTGATATTTGGCTGCAACTGATCCAGCGTTGCATGTGTTATCTCACTTTAAAGTAACCAGATTACATTCGTGAAAATACACCTGTAGGTTTCTTTTTTTGGGATAGAAATGTGCATTGCAAAATATGTTATATCGCAATTTCATTTTGCCGTACATCTTGACGACTTTTGCACACATTCTAGATAGGCAATATTACTTGTGCAATGTTTACATATAATGCATCAACATACAGACATATCTCCATTACGAGGTATGAAATTATTGCTTAACGATTAGGAAAACAATATGTATCGCATTGTTGCTGTACTGGAAAATTTGAGTTGAACTTTGTGTCAGATACTTATAAACATACTTTCATTAATTTCAGCCTAAAAAACCCTGAAAAAACCCATGAATTCTGAGCAAAAGCAGAAATTCTCGGCCATTTTATTTTAACTTTGAGTTTTCGAACAAGGTTCCTTTTTCATGTTTTCATCCTTAGCATATGTTCATGACAACTGTATCTTGAATTATGTAAATCCTTTGTCAGAGGTCACAGTGCGGAGAGTTTCGGGACTTTTGGGTTTCCATAATTAAATTAAAGGCATAACATGGTAAATGACAAAGGTCAAGTTCGTCAGATGTCAGTTCATCGTGTGACCACTAATATCATCACACATTGCTGCCACGTACTTCTTACCTTCGGGCTCAATAGTGCATGTAAATGTGCCTCTCTCATCTTGACATGCCATAGAGCCAAACAGCTCCCAATCGGACAACAGTGCACGTAAATGTGCCTCTCTCATCTTGACATGTCATTGAGGCAAACAGCTCCCAATCGGACAACGATGCACGTAAATGTGCCTCTCTCATCTTGACATGTCATTGAGGCAAACAGCTGCCAATCGGACAACAGTGCACGTAAATGTGTCTCTCTCATCTTGACATGTCACTGAGGCAAACAGCTGCCAACCGGACAACAGTGCACGTAAATGTGCCTCTCTCATCTTGACATGTCACTGAGGCAAACAGCTGCCAATCGGACAACAGTGCACGTAAATGTGTCTCTCTCATCTTGACATGTCACTGAGGCAAACAGCTGCCAACCGGACAACAGTGCACGTAAATGTACCTCTCTCATCTTGACATGTCACTGAGGCAAACAGCTGCCAATCGGACAACAGTGCACATAAATGTGTCTCTCTCATCTTGACATGTCACTGAGGCAAACAGCTCCCAATCGGACAACAATGCACGTAAATGTGCCTCTCTCATCTTGACATGTCACTGAACCAACCAGTTTCAACTGTAGCGTATTAACATGTGTTCCTTATCAGGAGACTCTCCTGGTTCATCTGCTAATGAACCAAACAGTTTTCAGTCGATGAATAGTCTCTAAATATATATAAATTTGATTGTAACAAAAAATCATCTAAACTGAAAAAGAGCCCCGGGGAGACCACAGATCCTGTGGGGAAAACTGGACTTACTTCATTTAGGGCTTTAGCATTGTAGGGAGGGCTGGGCTGTATGGAAAATAGTATGGTTCACAGGGACGGTTACAGCTTTTTGAGAAAGGGGGTGAGGGGGTGCACAGTTTATTTTCACCCGTTTTCACGAGAGTTTCAATGGTCATTTAATAAATGTTCAGGACAAAAGGAGTGGTGGGGGTAGGGTGGATCCGCATAGGGTTCGGGAACTGTGAGATAGACTATGACACACCGAAGAATAACAAATCTAAATGTTGTATTTCCAGGTTACGTTTTGTAAAGTATTGAATCTCAAACAATCATGTTCTTTGCAGATCCTGTTCCTGCTTTCCAAGATGTGGCGATCCAATCACAACAAGTTCATTTATGTCGGTATTGTTTCGTTAGCTCTATATATCTAATATTTACAAAACTAGGGACAGACATATTGTCTACCCTCTTTCTCACTTTTAGACACATTCAAACTGCAAACAAAACACACGATCACCAATCGCACAGTAATCTATGAGATAATAAAACAAATCGATAAATCCATGAAATACATGAACATGTCATCCGGGTGTATATAACGAATTGTTTCCGCGGGTCGACCCGCAAAGCGCCGAGGCCTGACGAAAGAGGAGGGAGCATCGGTTCGCGATATGGCGTCGTCGGGCAAAGGGTATCGCTTCCGTGACCCAAGTGGTATAAATCACAGAGCACCCATCTCCTCAAGAGTGATTCAAACTTTGCCCCCGTGAGGGTCTAACCTATATGCAACATGCACACATAGTCTCTACCAGTTTGTCAAACTGAAGGTAAGTGTCCTAGATCCGAGTCCAGGCATTCAGCAGTTGAATAAAGGTAAGCAAGAATGATTGGCAAAGTGCGAAGTGTGAATGCACGAATGAAAGAACAACTCCGCGATGCCTAAACAACAAGAGACATGCTGTTTGTTAAACTACGTTTACAAGTACTACATTTAGCGGTGTAGCAAATAGCATGTGTCTTCCGGGTGTATAAAGTATACAGCAAGGTCTTCATTCCAGCAACGACGACTCCAGCACCAACACCTGCAACAACAACTCCAGCCACAACACCTTCAACAACGAATCCTGCATCAGCAGGTCCAGCAAGCGCACCTCCCTCAACCACGACACATGCCCCGACAGCTCCTTCCGGTCCTCTCCCGGAAGTGAACCTGGGACAAAACTGCAGCTATGCCCTCTGCGCTCCTGTCAACAGCGCATGCGTTACGAAGGTGGACAGCGTCAGAACCTGCGAGTGCGTGAATAAACATCTACAAATGAATTCAGCATTCTGCAAAAGGGGTACACATTATAATTTATAATTATTCATGTTACCTTTATTACATGAGCGTTTCGTTATTAATATTTTTGTTATTACTGGAGCACTGTACATGAACTACTTACAGTTACTTACGCAACAACAGAATTTTTGTTCTTTACTCCAAATGGGTCTTATTCGTTGTATTCCAGACCTTCCAAAAAACACATTTATTACCGACGACCTAATGATACACTCGCCGATCAAACTAAAATAATTGTCCTTCACATACGAGCAACCTTTTGCTCAGGGGCGTAGGAACGGTTTTCGGCGGGGGGGGGGGCTAATTTATGGAAAGTATTGAAAATCAAAATGAAATTGTAGTTATGGTCAGGAGACATGGTTTCGTCTTGAAAAAGATGGGGCCCAAGCGCTCCCCCCGTTCCTACGCCCCTGTGGCTGAATAAATGTAGATATATCTCGACCTTCACTTGCCGTGTAACGGTTTGGATAGTTCACCAATGTGCTACAATTGCCATTTTTATAATGAATCGGAGGTCACCTTCATATCGCCGTAACAATATCCCCTACCAGTGGGTGGGTGTCATGGAGTTTAACGCCGATTTGAACAACACTTCGGTTATTTCACGCTGTGTGTCTTCAATGTGAGAGTATCCAATTTGGAGTAAATCCCTACTACTCTTGTCTGTTGAATGCGTGTCATGTACATAGGTTTGTTTTGGCTGCTTGTTGTTTAACGCCGCACTCAGCAATTTTCAAGCTATATGACAACGGCCAACTCTTAGATCAATGGCCAATCCGCTTCCCATTTAATGACCGGGGAATAATGCCAATGCCACTTCAATCTCTTTTATTGCACTACTGCAAGTGCATATTCAACTTCGAGCTGTGTTGTTTCATCCACATAGGCTGGTGATCATATCTGTATACAATATACATATGTTATCAAATACAGCTGTCGATCTGGAAAACATAATGTCGAAACACACGTTTTGAGAAAAAAAAGCATTCTGATCGTTTAATGCCATGGGTAAATACGAATTCAATATGACCGTAACCACTATCAAACATCATGAACTACTTTTATATTCTTCAGCTCCTGATGAAGTCACCAAGGCAGCCTCATTCACCTTCAATGTATCCACAGAATTTACTGGCGATGGTACCTACCTTTCAAAATAAAGCCGAAACTGGTTAAAATCGCTTAAAACATGGTCAGATTTTAAGGCACCATATTTATTGTTCTTTTACAAACCTACAGCATTTTGTATCAGGTCTTTGTTAATTATATAGATTCAATTAAACACTAAAAAAATGTAATTTCAACATTTATTCAGAAAAACTAATGCTTAAGATTTTCTACCGATGTTGAAATGAAGTTACAGACATGTTTTTTTCTTTCTAGTGGCAGCTATATCCTTTGATGGCCTCTTGGAATTCCCGCGTAATTTTTTTACCTTGAAAGTTGATATAATCCCAAGAGACGAAAATCTACTACTGACCACATCATCTGATAAAGTAACGCTTACACTCACGGCTCCCTTGCAAAAGTCAACAACATCAGCTCTGACCATGACTGCTTCCACTGCGAGGCATACCGTCACAGATACTGACACTGTCACCATAATGGTAAGCAAAACACTAATACAACGAGCACGGAACATTACGATGTTCGTAGTCCAGGGCACAAGAAGAAACACTTTGATCGCGGATGTCAGAGCGCAGGGATTCGAGTTTGAAAACGGAGCATATACTTTCTCTATTGAATCTTCAGATGAAGCCAAACTGTTTTTTAGTGTGGATGAACACAGTGGCAGGGTGGTATGCCGACAAGACATCATTATACAGTCAGAACAGACAGTTGCACGGGAGTACATATTGAAGGTTGTCGCTACATCTGGATCTGCACCCGTGGATCTTATCCGGGCAAATATCTTGGTGCTCAAACATCAGTTTGAGACATCTGTCAACGAGAACGAAAAGGGCGTTATCATGCGGTATGAGCTCCAAAGTGATAGTTTTAGAATAACTTCACATGATTTGCCATCTGACATCAACAACGCCCAGGGTGTTTTTCAGCTGACGTCCTCTAGAGACTATGAAGGGGACTTTACAAGAAGTACCTTTTCTCTTCATGTCCAGACGAGCGAAACAATACCTAGGCAAACATATATTTCAGTTACTTTGAACATCAATGATTTGAACGATGAAGCGCCGCGGTTTCATATACCTTCCTATGAATTCACAATTCTTGCTGGATCCTACGCTGGTACTATTATCGGCAGCGTGAGCAGCAACGACCCCGACAGTGTTGGCCGGACGCATTACACCACAGAAGGAATGTACAAAGACTGGTTTCATGTTGATCCATCAGGTACAATTAAATCGAAGGTGGAGCTAAGAAAGGAACAGTTTGGGGAAAGGTTTAGTATAAGCATTACGGCCAACGATGGACAACAAACATCTCGCTCTAAAGCCGTTGTCAATGTCAACCTTATCACTATTTACCAAGAAGCTGAAAATCTGCATTTGAACTTCACTGTTCAAATTCCTGAAGAGGAACCAGCTGGACGTTGGGTAACTGATGTCAACACTACTGACTACAGCAACTATCGTTTCAACAGTAAGCATGCTGAGCAGCTGTTCAACCTCAATTCAACAACGGTGAGTCATTTACATTCAGACGCTATAATGTCAGTGTTGCATCGCTACTTGATTTTCATTGGACATTACTAATGAAATCATTCTACGTTCCAGTGTTAAGAAGGACATGTAAACATCACCTGTTTAGGCAAACCTTTAAAACCCATACCTTTACCATTTCTCCGTTTGTAGTCACACAAACCATTCATTATAGAGTCTTTTTAAGTTTGACGCAGCACTTACAGATGTCTGTCACTGTCTGATCAGTCATCTTGTATAATGTATATCAAAACAGTTAATACGTATGCTTATTACACATTTCTCCTTTACACTAAGGGGGCACGAAAAGCGCAATCATCTAAGGTGCGTTGGAGCAACTTGACCTTAAATTTGAATAAATCGTAAGGTTCGCCTAAGGATGACTGAATCTATTCCAGTTGTTAATTAATCCTTCTTTTACAGGGACAAATAACAACAAAACGACCGCTTGACAGGGAGAGCCTTGACGCTTCGTATGCCTTCTTTGATATGCAGGCTAGCAAGGACAACGAAGATCAATGTACTCTTGTGGTAAGGACAAACCTTTGCTTTATAGCTTGTTGAAATAGTTAATGATGGCCCTAATTACCCACATGCCATTATTTATATCATGTGGACTGAATATGCATGCTGCATTATTAAGGACAGCGTACATAAGTTCAGGTCGAGGTATTTTTGTAAACACTTTAAAAATACGCCAGTGAGTTAATTGTAAACTTAGAAAAGCTTCCAGAAGATACATTTATATGTGCATATATAGAGATTATTACACGAGCAAGTAGGTTATACGACTTACACGAACCGAGTGTGGAATTTTGTATTTCGGGACATATGCACAGGGCACACTTTGCATTGAAATTAGAACCTCACTGAGATATTTGAACATAAACTTGTTCATTTTAAGATTTTCTGTTCATTCATATTCTTACCAAGCGCACCAACAATACACTACGATCATCGGACTGTTCTATAAACAGAGCTACAGACACATTCCATGACCATAGCAAATGTCTGCTTAAACAGGATTCAGATTTTATCATGAACGTGTGTTTATGAAACAGCTGGTGATGTTACCAGAGCGTATACTACAACACAGTAGACACCCGCAACAAACACATGCAAGGCAGGTCGATTATTCACCATTAAAACGGGAACATATGCTACTCGTCAAATTATAGAACTGCATCTGAAATATTGTGTCACTGATTCGGAAATGTCTACCACACCTTACTGCGGCTTCCAATATTATAATGTTACCAATAACGTTTGTCCTTTACAAGATATACTGTTGAAATGTTATGTCTTTCATATTACCACAAGTCGTTATAAGCATGTATTTTTAAGTAGGCATCTATGAAATCACACAACTATTTGCAGACACTTGGGCGACTAGTCTACGAACTGCAAGATATAAACGACAATTATCCAATGTTCAGTCGTACGAGATACAGCGGGGAGGTTCCAGAAAACTCACAACCTTACAACGATGTATCCGGTTTGGTAGAGAGATATTATTTTATATTTATTGAAGTGTATTAATTTGATATATTAAGTGTTTAGTCATATCTCATATTTCTCTTATCCAAGAGGTAAATGGTGTATACAGTTAAGCTGAAAAAAAGCCAGGCACCTTTGAAATACGTATAACTGTGCTATATTCTTCATTACACAAGTGATGAAAGTTACTTAGTGCTGCGTTACTCGTCTATTATCTATTACTCTGGCGTTGAATGTGAAACTTTTGATAAGACCAAATACCTTTATTTACAATCGTTAGCAACGCCATTTACGTTCCGAGTGGCCTATATCCTCTAGAAAATGAATGAAATATATTAAATATACATTTAAATAAAATGAACTTTTTACTTCCAAGTAGATGGATGCAGACGTAATTTAACCTAACAGGAAAAACACAATAGTTTACAACACAATATACGCGACCCGTTTCAAAAAGGGATCGTAGAGCTAAGGATATCTTAGCGCGCCCATCTATAACATATACTGAGGACATTGGTACATCTAACATCGTTTTGCGGAAATCTATTACACCCATGATTGTAATTTGAACCATTTTTTGTGTGCATTGTGGCTTTTTCAAATATATATACGATTCCAGTTTCTTTTCAGATAAACCTCCATGCCTCTGACGCTGATATCCGTGAAAACGCAAGACTGACTTTTACGCTAACCGGCAACGGAAGTGACTATTTCAATGTAGTTAATTATACAAATAATAACGTCAAAGTCATAGTGGGAAAACCTGGTCTCGATAGAGAACTAATGTCTTCTTATCTTATTACTCTTACAGCAACTGACAATCCAGTCGACCCAAACGCCAGGAATAGTAATTCTACTCTCCTTAATATTACAATTTTGGATGAAAACGATAATGATCCCGTTTGTGATGACTGGCCCACTACGTTGTACGTCCTTGAAAACGTTGGTTCCGAATTACTTACGACCCTAACTGCTACAGACAGAGATGAAGGACCTAATGCTGATATTATTTATAGTGTACATGGGGGAGGATGGACATTTTCTGTTGAACGTCAAGAAGGAAAGGTGTACAAAAACCATCCAATTGATCGCGAAAGTTTCGATGTAATACAGTTAACGTTTGAGGCAAGGGATAAGGGCATTCCTTCGAGAAGCTGTGAAAGGAACGTCACAATAAACATAAATGATACCAATGACAACGCACCTATGTTTGAAAATGGCATCAGTTATATTGTGATTAATAGACCCGAGGAACAGGATTGTTCCAAGTTAAATATAATGATTACAGCAACAGATCCTGACAAAGGATTAAACGGAACGGTTGAATATTCGCTTAACAACACAAAGTTTTCTATTAACAAAGTTACCGGAGATATAACATGTAATTCAGCTCTTGACTATGAACGCGAGAACACCCACGAGCTTGTAGTTATTGCCACGGATAAAGGCGATGAGCCAATGAGCTCTTCTCTGACCGTTGTGATTCAAGTCCAGGATATCAATGATAATGCCCCAGCTTTCTCAAAACAGTTTTACAATGTCAGCATCCTACCTAGCGAATGGGTTGATGGCAAACCGATTCTTGTCATGAAGGTATCGGATAAGGATTCTGGACTAAATGGAAACATTGTTTTAAGCCTTAACAACTACAGGGAGACGTTTAATGTAACTTCTGGCACAAATGGCGTACTAAGAATAAAGGGTCTTGCACCATCTGTTGGAACTGTGTATAACTTTAGCATAACTGCGACAGATAAGGGTCACCCCCCAAATACCAACACGACCCTCGTACAGGTACGTGTGAGGCAAGATGAGGGCAAAAATCCCATACAGTTCAATACTACAGAATTTCAGTTTGATTTGGAAGAGGAAACGAACAACACAGGAACCGTTATTGGACAAGTGCAAGCTGAGGTATCCGTAGGAGCTGCAAGTTATCAATTTGTAGAAGGATATAAAGATAACTTTTGGATGAATTCTAGCACTGGAGAAATATTTTGCGACGCCATTTTGGATAGAGAGGAAACCGGATGGTACAAGCTGGTGGTACGGGCCTTACCACGGTCAGGAGGCCAGGGTGGCGACGTGGCCATTGTAAGATGTAGCTTTATATTAGCTTGATGTTCTAAGAATTCCACATTTTGTGTAAAGACAGGGTATACCTTTGCTCAGCAATAGTCCAGTCCTATCAAAGGCCACTAGTGGTTCAAGCTTTTGCTCGTCACGTCGAAGACCCACATGGCTACAATGTATGACGCCTATTTCTGGTGTCCCCGCCGTGATATAGCTGGAATATAGCTAAAACTATTCTCACTCACTCACTGTGATACGATATGACGTAGCTGATCTATTTGACTACATGCCAGACTGTGTGAGGTCGGTATGCAGGTGTGAACTGTTGATAAGCTATGCTGTTAAGTTAGCTCAGATTGTTAGGCATTTGGAAATTAACGTTCCCTATTGACAATGACAGGCAGAAAACTGATTAGTTTCGCTAAGGGTATTAGTTAATTGTATTAACTCACAAATGACCCATATTCATAAAATACAACCTTTAATTAGGATTTCTGTCGATTCTTTTTTCGAGGTTACTGTAAATGTTCGTGACATCAACGACAACCACCCGGTCTTTAAGGTTCCTCAAAAACATTTGGTCTTCCAAATCGCTGAAGATGCCGACATCGACATTGGCATAGCCTATATATCAGCCAATGACCCCGACGAAGGCATCAATGGAACGTTAACATACAGTATCTGGAACAAGGACGAACAGACCCGTAAGTGATCTCCAGACTGTAGTGTTATAGTGCAGTCGATGGCAAGCACGAAATTACATTGATAGGCTGCGATCGTCTTACCATTTGCATCAGGAAGTTCATGTATATGCAATTTGTTTTCAGAAAAAATGTTGCCATATTGAAATACACGTTCAGGAGAATATCCTTACAAAGAAAGTGTAATCCCAAATATAACATATGTTACATATTGAAATAGCTCTGTTCAGATAAATACATCTATTTTACGTGTTGGTTTGACAGTGATAAACGCCTGATTATCTTCTTTGGGTGGCATTGTAGAAGTTGGGAAGTACAATACTGACAATTTCTTATATTTCGTGAGTGCAACAGCTTCTCGTACCTTCTTGTCAAGCAGGAATGTAACATGAAGAGAAGGAGCTGCATATATACAGAGTAACAAAGAAATCAACATAATTAACATAACTGGCTAGGTTGTAAGTTGATTAAAACCAGTGAAATATGAAAGGGAAATGAGATGGAAGCCAGAAATGTACAAATCGAGGTGGTTGTTCAGAAAGAAGGAGATGTTTATACAGTTGATTGGGACTGTGCTTCCGAGGCTAAAATATCCTTGATCTCCACTGATCTCGATTTGACCAAAAATACTCATCCCAAACGCCAAAAACCACCACCAACGAGATCAAGGATATTCCATCCCATCAGCCTATGGTGCGCACCTCAACCTCACTATTATTTAAGAAACCACCTGTCCCTGTGAACGAAATTATAGTTTTTCCAAAAAAATCGACGTAAAACGCCTAATGTGAACTGAACTAAACATGTTACATTCCTGCTTGACAACGATACATGGACCTGTCTCGAAAAGTCACACTCACGAGTCATTGAAATGTGTTAATATTGTACCCCTGATAATCAAATTGGAGTATTCCTTGAGATGACTATTCCAGTGTTCATTTTACATTGCAGCATTTGTAATTGAAGAACTGCATGGTCAAGTGAAGACGAGTGCCAGGTTAGACAGAGAAAGGACACCAAGTTACACTTTGACTATTCAAGTACGTTGAATGGAATGTCTATACATCTATAATCAACCTTTCTTTGATTCTTTCTGACATTTCTAATTTATATTTCTGTGAAGAAAAATAGCAGTCATAACACATGTATACAGTTTTAGCTTCTATGTACAGTATACCTAACAGACGTGTTACGCCACCGAACCGTATTAGGATCCTCTGCTTCTTTGTAAGTACCAGAGTAGCGCAAGTTGTGTTTTGCCAAAATGGAAAACCTCTGCGCTCATCAGGCTTTCGCCACATATTAAAAGGAACTGCTAATACCCTTTTCATAAAAGCCACAGAAACCATTTCTCTAATCATGATCCGTATCTTTCCCCGTGGATGGCCACCGTTACAAACACATGCAAAGGAAAGTCAATTGCACGTCCAAGACAACCTACAGCCACATCATCCAATAACATACATAAAATACACGTTAAACTATGTAGTTACACTGTACATGTGTGTCACCGATGCCTGCAATTTGTAAATGTCCTCATTTACATTCCATTTCAACCAGAAAACGTTTTAATAGCTTTCCCGAGGTCTTGAGCGTTGTAACCTTGAACTTGCATTATTTTTTATCATGAGTACTACATCACTTCGATTATACACCAAACGTTTTTAAGTGTAGATACAAAAGAAATTATCTAAACGTGATCTCGTCTATTTCTTGTTCAAGTAAGGTACATGAGTAGATAGCAATGATTATTTGATGGTTAGAGAACAATATGTTATCGTAAAGCTTCAGCTAAATTACCTTGTTTTAATGTTGTCAATCCGAGCAGAATTTCCGATTCATATGCTTAAAATAAAGGTTAGCAACAAACTCATTTCACACACTCAGTACTGCCATGTGAACTTGCGGTGGAAGAAAACGATTGAACAGGAAGATTAAAACTCCATGGGTCTGAAATCATTCGCCATTTCCCAAGTATGATATCTGTATCAAATAGATCAAAACCAAATAGTTTTAGCCCCCACCTAACGTGTATCTGCAGTCTTCTGCTCAACAGTGTATGTCATTTTATGTCATGTTTCAGGCCAAGGACGGCGGAAATCCGTCTCTGTCGTCTGTTACCAATGTCACAATCCTCGTACTAGACATAAACGACAATGCTCCAATATTCAGCTCAGGATCCTACACCAAGACCATTAAGGAAAATGCACCTCGCAGTACTTTGGTAAGATACCCCACAGTATTAATTTTACAAGTATAAATAGGGGGCAGTTTAGTAGATTAGATTCCATACACTGGATCAGTCGGTGCAGCTCATTTCTGATGTCAACGTGCACGATGTTGCTATAAAGGGGTCAAACTATTGAACATAATTTCACATTGACACAGTGTTAATCAGCGTCCATGTACAGCTTTTACGAACTGTAACTCAACTGTCGAAACCTGGAGAGCTGAACTTATGTAGGCATCCTAGTGACCTTCAAACATCGCTTCATTCAAAGGGCGACAATTCTTGTAATCTCGATATTTTCATCATGAATAAGGAATCGTAGCTGTAATAACTTTTCAAAGCCCCTTGGAACCAATTTCATTCAATTTAACATAATATTTACATATAATGTTTTGACGACGATCGTCATTATGTTTCAGCTTGACGACTCTGATGTTTTTGCAACTGATCTCGACTACAACGACAACGGCACCGTTACATACGTCAGCAAAACTACGCTTGTCAGCAACACGACGATCAGATGTCCTTTCCGTCTGACAGATAGTAGGTGTTTAAACTCTCAGTACGTTGGGTAGACTGAAAAGCTCATGTTTGGTACCTGTACAGATTTATAGGTGACTGGAATACATTGACCACGAATGATTACACATTTCACTCGAAGTTTTATATGAATTGCTGGTCAGCTAAACTTCAGATGATTTTGCAGGAGCAAGTGCAGAATTCTGAACCCATTTCTATTAGAAAAAGAAGATTTCAGGACTATTCTTTTGATCCTTTGCTCTTCCGTTAGTCAGTATATTTGTTTAGCCTTGCTAAACAGAAAGAGTGAGTGAGTTTAGTTTTACGCCGCACTCAGCAATATTCCATCTATGTGGCGGCGGGCTGTAAATAATCGAGGCTGGGCCAGACAATCCAGTGATCAACAACATGAGCATCGATCTGCACAGTTGGGAACCGATGACATGTGTCAACCATAAACAGAAAGAGGATGGTTATCATCCTGAACCCCCAAAGCACATATCCCAAGCACTCTTACTCACCTCCTTCATACGACATTGAACTTGCTAAGAGAGAATCCACACTGAAAGAGCATATTGTCAAACATTTGCATGTCCTTTGGACGCGAAATATGAAACATTGTTCATCTGAGACGTGAGAACGTTGAAGGAGGATCGGTCAGTATTCTTGGGGAAGGAGGTATTGACGATCGTGGATGATTAGAGACAAATTCCAGCCCATATGAAGAACATGTATCCCAATACATGTCTGGGCTTCGCATGGAGGGGGCAGTGGGCCTGAGCTGATGATGGTCCCAACCAGCCTTATTGTGCCAGGATCTCCCAAACCCTCTTTGTTGCATTTATGTATTTTAATCTTTGTGATAATAATATTGATGGTGACTGTGATGAATTTGTAGGTTTGTCAAACTTGATATAACAAAACCACGACTAAAAGCCAGGTCAGTAATACTATGTCTATTGCATTATCATTATCATATTGTATTCAGTTATTATTCACAGTTTGCGTAATTTGTAGACCACGATGCTAGGGATTAAGATAAAATATTACGAGTGTTTGTAAAGTTGTATGTACGGAAGCGTCCTAGTGCCACAGTCTGAATTTTTTTTATCTCCTAATTAGGACTTAGAATCTCCTAATTAGGAGATACTATCTCCTAATTAGGACTTAGCTATCTCCTAATTAGGAGATACTATCTCCTAATTAGCAGATAGTATCACCTGTGGCACTAGGACGCTTCCGTATGTGTTATACGGTACTAACTATTTTGACGAAATGTTTGTTGCATAGTGATATCTTTCTAAATACACGTGCATGGGCATTTTAAGAATATAACAAAACAACGAACGAAGTGGTAGGCGTGATGGCTGTTGACGACTCCATTGACTACGAGACGACCCCTGTGTATGAGTGCTACGTCACCGCGGTGGATATGAGTCGCTGTTCTGGTGATATGTGCAAGTCTCGCTTAACGGGGACAGCAACCGTTACAGTCAACGTCCTAGACGTCAACGACAACACACCCACTTTCGAAGCAGCGCCATACAACACCAACGTGACACGGGACAGCCCGATCGAGTCTCTTGTTACTGATGTCATCAAAGCTACAGATGAAGATTCGGACGGCAATGGCATAGTCCGCTACAACATCACAGATGGTATCGGTGAGTATATACCTACTACGAGTACACACTGCCATCGGAATAGTAATAGTGTCTTCGAAATGGTTGGTTGGTGTGTAACGCCGAAATCAGCAATATTCCAGCTACATGTATTGGCGGCGGTGTGTAAATAATCGAGCCTGGACCAGACAATCCAGTGATCAACAGCATGAACATCGATCTACGCAATTGGGATACGATGATATGTGTCAACCAAGCCAGCGAGCCTGACAACCGGATCCCGTTAGTAGCTCTTATGACAAGTATGGGTTGCTGAATATCACTTCTAACCCGGATCTTCACGGGTCTTTGAAAACGGTACCAAATCAGCGAAAGTAGTATAATCGGTATAGTAGTCAGTGAACGTGTTAAAACTGCTAAAATCATGTTTGCACATTTACAATGAAACATTTATTTCAAACATTTTGTGCATATATTCTAATTAATCGTTCTAGATTTCAACCAAATCAAAACAATTACAGCTAGTGATTGACGGCCGATGAAGTAAAATGGCACCAAAGTTTTTTCAGAAAGTTGTCAAGTGCACAAATATGTTAATTTGGAGATGACAGCTAGTGATTGACGACCGATGAATTAAAATGGCACCAAAGTTTTTTCAGAAAGTTGTCAAGTGCACAAATATGTTAATTTGGAGATGACGCTATCTAAATAAATAAAAAGTAAATATTCTAGTATTTCTATTTTTAAGTAATTGTAGCATTCGAGCCAATAGTCATCGGACGGTAGCTCGATGAATGAACTCTACACAAGCGTCTTTAACAGTTATATATACAAATGTTCATAATCACGGTTGACCTGTCTACAGAGATTGCTATTTTGAATGGGGACATATACACCAACAATTACTTAATTCGCCCTTGTTCTCATTTCTTGCAGGGTCCACTTTCTTCAGGATAAATACCATGAGCGGCGATTTGTACATTTTGAAGGACTTGTCCAGTCTTGACCAAGACATAGTCACCCTCACAGTTGAAGCTCGCGACAGTCCAATCGATGACGAACAACGCCAGGCGACGACCACGGTACTGCAGTTTGAGAACCTTCAGATTGTGCAGATACAAGAACAGCGAATATTATATATCAACCAATTACCTATTAGCTTGGTATCACTATCCTTTTTTAACACAATGTAACATATCTAATTAAGATGAAATAAAACGCAGGAAATATAACTTATAGGTAAGTTTAGACAAAGTTTAATGGTAATTAATATATATTTTCTATAGATCACCATAGAAATACTAGACGACAATCCTCGACCCTGGTTTCCAAAGGCTCAGACCATGCAGATCAGGGAAGAGGAGAGCCCTGACGGAACCAGTCTGAACATGACGGCTTTAGATCGAAAACACGGGGAGGTTACCATTTGCAACTGTACTTACGAGCTGACGTCAGGTATCTCTTTCTACTCTCTAACACGACCTTTTATTATTTTTATGTTCAAGACAAAACAAAACGAGCAATGCTTTTCTTTTCAATGTGTTTTACGTAGAGGGTAATGTCCGAGTAACTCTCCATTCCTACAAAAATAATGGAGCCGAGGCCCGTTATTTTTAATGAATGGAGAGTTACGAGAATATTACCCTACTTAAATTACATTCAAAGTATTGGTAATATTTCTGTTATCAAAATTAAATGTGGACAAAATGAAGTTTTAAATTTGAAACTGGTACACATCGCTCCATTCCTGAAAAGTAATGGAGCGAACAGACAATGAAATGACGTCACAAATGTAATTTAATTTAGGTTGCCTCTAATTATACTCGTTTACATGCGCAGCAATGTGAGATTTCGAGTTCTGTTATCCGTTCAGTGTGTTGGTTTTGCTGTTTTTTCCTGTCAGTTCATATAATCGAGTTTTTTGTCCAAGGGAGACCACAAACTATATCGCTAATGGCCAACCGCACACTGAATGAATGATTTGTTTTTTGTTTGTTTGTTTATTGTTTAACGCCGCACTCAGGAATTTCTCAGCTACATGGCGGCGGTCTGTAAATAATCGAGTCTACACCAAACAATCCAGTGATTGACATCATGAGCATCGACCTACGCAGTTGGGATACGATGACCAACCAAGTCAGCAAGCCTGAACATCCGATACCGTTAGTCGCCTCTTACGACAAGCCTGAGTTGCTGAGGTTTAATTCTAACCTTAATCTTCACAGGTAGTGATTGAATGAAGTTAGATTGAAGTTGTCCCCTGATTGTTCGATACCCCATCTATATCACATCATCTGCCAGACGAAGTAACCTCAGTTGACTTAATGGTCAACCCTCCAGCACTGGTCAGTCCCGAAATGCCCGTAGTTTCAGCGCAAACAATCCCTCATCATGGTAGCTTATTTTGTTTGTACAACCTATATTTCCAGATTTTTCCAGTTTCTTTATTATCAACAAGACAACAGGAGATTTTAGACAGACTGCAAAACTAAACAGAGAGTCTACCGGAAGCACAGTTAGAATAGGGATCAAGGCCTCTGACGATGGCGATCCACCCAAGACCGAAACTGCATTTATCACCATCAACGTAATCGACATCAACGACAACAGGCCCTACTTTAACAAAACATTACGGTCGCAAACTTTTTCCGTTACCCAGGTAGGTACACGTTCAGATGGAATTCAGTTAACGAAAGGTGATGCTTATGTGGACACCAGCTGACGAAGCAGTGTTTAATCGTATCATTCATGTATCACTCGAACCCAGTTTCCTGGTTTGTTTCAAAGTACTAATAAATGTAACCCTGCATCAATTTGATTTGTATAGGGTTGATAGGGTGTAGGGCAATCTACTTTTCGAACAGTTATATACAACGAACTGCTCATTCATTGCCCCTTTCAATCACTTCAGTAATATTTTGTCACCACTGCCAACAAACTATTTACATGGGACATGACTCAACTCGGGCTCATAGAATGTTCCCTAATTGCCTTCTGAAAATGTCATGGCGGTGGGGTAGCCTAGTGGTTAAAGCGTTAGCTCGTCACGCCGAAGGCCCCGGTTCGATTCCCCACGTGTGAAGCCCATTTTCTGGTGTCCCCCGCGGTGATATTGCTGGAATATTGCTAAAAGCGGCGTAAAACCCAACTCACTCACTCACACTCTGATAATGTCCTCTTTTTATACAAGTCATTGTTCAGTGTGTCTAGTAAGTATGTAGTCACTGTGTAAGAATGTTAAATTGAAGAAAATATATATTGTCATAGTCTTACACTACAAAGTCCAATACACTAGTTTCTAAATATCACATTCTTCAGTTCAAACACAAAGCTGTTTTCAGACTGCTCCTGTTGGTAGCCTGATTGGCCACGTGGTGAGTATTGATGAAGATGAAGATCGCAACTCCATCACTTCCTATGAAACCCTTAAAACCGATGAGAGGATATTGCTACATGAAAATGGTACTATCGTCGTCAACAAATCCCTCATCAATCACGAGAAGGAGCTTTATAAAATCGAGGTAGGTATACATGCTTACATGACAAGACTTGGCTAAGCGTAAGATATGTTATCTCAGTCATGATGTATAATCATCCAAGCCATTTCGCCTTTGTCCACTGCCCATCACTCAATAAAGCTTCCCGAACTGACAATCTGCATTTTGATTGTGTGACAGTGAAAATATAATTTGCCTTTCTCTGTATTAACAAACCATGTTACCTACGCCGATAGACTTATGACTATTCGGGTACGACGTGTCTCCAGAAACCCATGCTTGTCGTAAGAGGCGACTAGTATCGAGTGGTCAGGCTCTCTGACGTGATTAATGCATGTCATGGTATCCCAGTAGATCGATAGTCATGATCTCAATCACTGCATTGTCTGGCCAAGGCTCGACTAGTGAGTCATATAACTGCTAGGCCGGTGGTATCTGTGTTTGTGTAAAGCTAACATCTTCACTTCCACATACCTCCCAGAGTGGTATGACAAACTTGACACGTGTCATCGTATCCCAATTGCGTAGATCGCTGCTCATGCTGTTGATCACTGGATTGTCTGGTCCAGACTCGATTATTTACAGACCGCCGCCATATAGCTGGAATATTGCTGAGTGCGACGTAAAACTAAACTCATTCACCAAAAGGTGAACGTCTATGTGAAAATAAAAGGCAAAAGTATTGTTTTTTTACTTAAATCTAATCAACAGTTACGTTATTCTTCCCGACCAAAATAAGTACTGACCAAAATATATTTTAATATTTTCTGCGTTAAAAGCACTATTAAATGATAAAAATAATAAGATATAGCATTAAACATAAATCCTTTAATTGTGCAGTTTTCAGTGAGTGCGAGGGATAGTCTTCCTCTGGAGTGGTCGTCAGATACGGAAAATGCGTCCTACCAGTCTACACTGGTGTCGATATCTGTTCATTACAGAGACCCGAATGAACACCCACCTACATTTATTAAAGGTATTCTTCTTAAACATGGTGACCATGTATCATTTTTGTGATTTCGATCTTTTTAATGTACCATTAAAAGTCATATGCAAAAGGATGTTTGTGGAATGTTCACGTAGAAACACCACCATAAATGATAAACTGATAACATTAATGTGACTTCTCATCATTACAATCCTTTGCCAGCTCTATACAGTACACAAGTAGACTTTACAAGTCGGAAAGGAACCGAAGTAAAACCAGCTGACTTCAAAGCTGTTGATAAAGACGGGGACAACATATCCTATGCTATAATACACGGAAACGTCAGGGTAAGTTTTCTATGCAGTTATGAGTGGCGGGAGCCATCGGTAACATTCCAGTGATCTATACTGAGGAAAACAAATGAAGGAACACTACTTCATGGCAGTGTTCCTTCATTTATTCTCAGATTTCCTCCCACAGCGCTATGCAAAGCTGGTGATGAAAACTGGAAAATATTTAAGGAACGCTTAAATTTCCTTTGTTCCTTTAATTGTTTCTCTCAGTATATTCACATGATCAATCTGTAATTCTTAAACCGGACCAATACTCGAGTAAATCGAGAGTAAGAACGGAGAGAAATATATCATTAGAGTATGTGTTTATCTATTTCAGGATATCATCGTCATGTCCTCGGAATCAGGACTGATGACACTCCAGTATGATCTGGACAGCACAATCGATGAACTCATAAATTTGACAGTTACAGCAACCGACAATGCCAGCTATCCGAAAACAGGGTAATCATACTTTGTGGTGTACACTCGGCTAGTACAGCTTGACTGGACGTGATTGTTTTTACAGCGCACACTCGGGTAGTACAGCTTGACTGGGCGTGACTGTTGTTACAGCGCACACTCGAGTAGTACAGTTTGACTGGGCGTGACTGTTGTTACAGCGCACTCTCGGGTAGTACAGTTTGACTGGGCGTGACTGCTGTTACAGCGCACGCTCGGGTAGTACAGTTTGACTGGGCGTGACTGTTGTTACAGCGCACACTCGGGTAGTACAGTTTGACTGGGCGTGACTGTTGTTACAGCGCACTCTCGGGTAGTACAGCTTGACTGGGCGTGACTGTTGTTACAGCGTATACTCGGGTAGTACAGCTTGACTGGGCGTGACTGTTGTTACAGCGCACACTCGGGTAGTACAGTTTGACTGGGCGTGACTGTTGTTACAGCGCACGCTCGGGTAGTACAGTTTGACTGGGCGTGACTGTTGTTACAGCGCACACTCGGGTAGTACAGTTTGACTGGGCGTGACTGTTGTTACAGCGCACACTCGGGTCAGTAGTACAGTTTGACTGGGCGTGACTGTTGTTACAGCGCACACTCGTGACTGTTGTTAGTAGTACAGCTTGACTGGGCGTGACTATTATTACAGCGCACGCTCGGCTAGTACAGTTTGACTGGGCGTGACTGTTGTTACAGCGCACACTCGGGTAGTACAGTTTGACTGGGCGTGACTGCTGTTACAGCGCACTCTCGGGTAGTACAGTTTGACTGGGCGTGACTGTTGTTACAGCGCACACTCGGGTAGTACAGTTTGACTGGGCGTGACTGTTGTTACAGCGCACACTCGGGTAGTACAGTTTGACTGGGCGTGACTGCTGTTACAGCGCACTCTCGGGTAGTACAGTTTGACTGGGCGTGACTGTTGTTACAGCGCACACTAAGGTAGTACAGTTTGACTGGGTGTGACTGCTGTTACAGCGCACTCTCGGGTAGTACAGTTTGACTGGGTGTGACTGCTGTTACAGCGCACACTCGAGTAGTACAGTTTGACTGGGTGTGACTGTTGTTACAGCGCACACTCCAGTAGTACAGCTTGACTGGGCGTGACTATTATTACAGCGCACGCTCGGCTAGTACAGTTTGACTGGGCGTGACTGTTGTTACAGCGCACACTCGGGTAGTACCGTTTGACTGGGTGTGACTGCTGTTACAGCGCACACTCCGGTAGTACCGTTTGACTGGGTGTGACTGCTGTTACAGCGCACACTCCGGTAGTACAGTTTGACTGGGTGTGACTGCTGTTACAGCGCACATTCGGGTAGTACAGTTTGACTGGGCGTGACTATTATTACAGCGTACACTCGGCTAGTACAGTTTGACTGGGCGTGACTGTTGTTACAGCGCACACTCCAGTAGTACAGCTTGACTGGGCGTGACTATTATTACAGCGCACGCTCGGCTAGTACAGTTTGACTGGGCGTGACTGTTGTTACAGCGCACACTCCGGTAGTACAGTTTGACTGGGTGTGACTGCTGTTACAGCGCACAGCTCGGTAGTACAGTTTGACTGGGTGTGACTGCTGTTACAGCGCACACTCCGGTAGTACAGTTTGACTGGGTGTGACTGCTGTTACAGCGCACGCTCGGGTAGTACAGTTTGACTTGGCGTGACTGCTGTTACAGCGCACACTCGGGTAGTACCGTTTGACTGGGCGTGACTGTTGTTACAGCGCACGCACTCGGCTAGTACAGTTTGACTGGGCGTGACTATTATTACAGCGCACGCTCGGCTAGTACAGTTTGACTGGGCGTGGCTGCTGTTACAGCGCACACTCCGGTACAGCGCACACTCTTGACTGGGACGTAACTGTTGTTACAGCGCACACTCGGGTAGTACAGCTTGACTGGGCGTGACTGTTGTTACAGCGCACTCTCGGGTAGTACAGCTTGACTGGGCGTGACTGCTGTTACAGCGCACACTCGGGTAGTACAGTTTGACTGGGCGTGACTGCTGTTACAGCGCACACTCGGGTAGTACAGTTTGACTGGGCGTGACTGTTGTTACAGCGCACGCTCGGGTAGTACAGTTTGACTGGGCGTGACTATTGTTACAGCGCACGCTCGGGTAGTACAGTTTGACTGGGCGTGACTGTTGTTACAGCGCACGCTCGGGTAGTACAGTTTGACTGGGCGTGGCTGTTGTTACAGTATTGTCACATGAATTCAAATGAACCTGAGATTGACACATCCAACGATTCTAAAACATTATCAATTTATTTAAAACTATTAGGACTGAGGGAATTGGGTATCGTCTTACGCCGTTTTCAGCTATATTCGTCACAACAGGGGACACCAGAAATAGGCATCAATGTACACTGATCCTGGTCTTGGACTTGCCGAATGGGTGAGAGTGAGTGGGTGGCGAGTTGGGTTTAACGTGGCTCTGAGGTAAACCAAGCCATGTCGGAGAATTCTTGAAGTGATGCGAGTCTCAGACTGATGTGATGCAGATCTTCATGCAACTCATGACTATCGTGCTGACAAATCAATGTACACTGATCCTGGTCTTGGACTTGCCGAATGGGTGAGAGTGAGTGAGTGGCGAGTTGGGTTTAACGTGGCTCTGAGGTAAATCAAGCCATGTCGGAAAATTCTTGAAGTGATGCGAGTCTCAGACTGATGTGATGCAGATCTTCATGCAACTCATGACTATAGTGCTGACAAATCAATATATCAATAATGATAATTGACACAACACTCAGGGCCTAGATTTTCTTAGCGCTAAGATAGTCGTAAGTTAATGTTATGGTATGGCCCTTACGACTTTCTTAGCGCTAAGAGAGCTTCGAAAATCTAGACCCTGGTTTCTGGTGTACGGAAGACGTAATAAGACTTGACACATGTCACAGAAATAATGTTCAGATCCACTTCTATCAACGTGTCAATCAATTAATCAATTCTTTATACAAGTATATTAAGCATATTTGCAAGTTTTCAGGTATGTATTTCCTTCTAATTTCATCATAAAATGGACACATAAACGTGAAGTGATATTCGTCCTCTGGACCCTTTCATATATGGGACAATTCATGGGTATGTTTAACACTGACATAACCATTTCAAGAACTAAGAAAAGCTGTTTGTTGCAGCACGTGTCAAGTGTTGATCACACTGAAGGACATGGAAGACACGCAGTGTATCCCACAGAAGGAATACAGTCGGTTGGGGGAGGACAGCGAGCTGAAGACAACGTTCATGACTCTGTTTGGTGTAATGACTGCTCTTCTGGTTCTTGCTGTAATTACAGTCTTGCTCAGCTGTTACAAGTACGTCATCCTCTGCATACACATGACAAACCCGTTTTCACCTCGTCAGTTGTACGATTTCGACTGTATCATGGGCATATGTTTGAGATTCACTATCAAATAATGATGATACCGGGTGTTCTCGATAAGTCCGCATATCCTGCCCCACCAATCGCAAACGACACATGCAAAAGCTAGTCAGTGAAACACTAATGCATACTAATAAAATATTATTTTGGAACTGATGCGTCAAAATTCAAAGTATTGTCAACGTGCTTACCATTAAACATTATAAAAGCTTTACCCAGGCTTTGAACACTCACCCGTGAAGATCAGGGTTGGAATTGGTCTTCAGTAACCCGTGCTTGTCGTAAGAGGCGACTAACGGGATAGGGTGGTCAGGCTCTCTGACTTGGTTGACATGTCACATATCCCAATTGTGTAGATCGATGTTCATGATGTTGATCACTGGATTGTCTGGTCCTGACTCGATTATTTACAGATTTTAGCTGGATTAATGCTGAGGGTGGCGTTAAACAACCAACCAACCTACCTTGTATATTCAACTTTGGCCCATTTTTCTATAACCCTTGTCAATGAAAATTGTTAATAATGGAAAGTTAACGTCGCATCAGCAGTACCTTCGTAAGGCATTCTTCCCTTATGTCCGTTCCGTAAGGCAATCTTCCTTGATTCCATCCTGTTAGCAGAACTAAATACGCATTCCGCTTCAAATATCTCCATTTCGACAGATCATTCTTTTCGTAACAAGTAAAAGTACGATATCGTTTTCAGAATTACACACCAAGCCATCGACCGAATCTGGGTCATCAGTATTTGTTGAAACACAAATTCAGCGAGACCTTATCTAGATTTGCTTTGTGCTTAGTGTCCACCTGTACTTTGAGAATGACGTATTTCTTGAGTGATTGGTGGATGCCCCTGTTTCATTCGGGGCCCTGACGTAGCGGTCCACACACTGCTGTTGTTACAGAAACTGCTCTTCTGCAACAAGCTTTATGTTTCATAACACGGATTGACACAAATTATTATATTTCACATACGAGTATTAACGCACAATGACCGCTGTTACCAGGTGGCGCGTTTCATCGAAGGAAGTTGAGCAGTACAAGCAAAAAGGCAACAGGTACAGTTTGGTCGACAAGGACCGTCAATCAAAGCATGGTCAAACTTACGAAGGATTGCAAGCATATGTCCAAGAAACACAACATGATTACCGACACCATGAAACAAGAGACTTTGTAAGTTCGTAACTGTATCACAAGCACTTATTCTACATCTTCCCGTTTGCATCTTCTCTTGTTTGTTGGATACGCGTTGTCCTGCCCTTAACTATACGATAACCGTCCTGTTTGGTGCCATATTATACATGTTATATGATATTGTTTCAGTCTTCTCCAGATGGCGTGATAAATCCTGCATACGCACGGGCTCCGACTGGGACGAACCTTCGTGGACGGTATGCCCTCATTATAGACTTGGTGATACGTTTTGTCTTATTCTCATTAAAACCTAGCAACACTACCGGGCTTCTATGTTTGGTAACGCCGTTTCGAAAAGCGACAATATATCAGCATTGACCAACCTGTCTGTTAACACCTTTGAGTGAGAGAATGAGATGGATTACACCACTGCGTGTCTGAAAACAAAGAAATGTTAAAGTAAGGTATGACGAAGACTTTTACCATTCTGTTGAGAAAGATATAGTCATAACCATTCAAGGATCATACTTAAAACGAAGCTTGGATTCGAACCCACGATCATTGATACAAACACGACTTAAGCAACCTTTTAGATCACCGTGCCATCCAGACTTTTACCACACTGACTGAAGATGATCTGCACAGGAGTTTACAAACCGCACTCCAAGTGATGCCATAGATGTTCTATCGGGTTAAAACTGGGCTATTTGAAGATGTAAACTGTGAAATTATGAATTTTAGTGATGTGTGCATTTTCAAAAGATGATTGTTCATAGCATCGGTCTAAATGTTGCTCTCCATCGCATGATAATACGACCATTAAGCTGCATTGCAAAACATATCTCAAAAGGTTAAGCCACGGATAAAGTTGACGATTTCGTTGTGTCCACGCAACACCTCTTTCAGCATGTCACTAACACAAGATGGCAACACCTCTTTCAGCATGTCACTCACACAAGATGGCAACACCTCTTCAGCATGTCACTCACACAAGATGGCAACACCTCTTCAGCATGTCACTAACACAAGATGGCAACACCTCTTCAGCATGTCACTAACACAAGATGGCAACACCTCTTCAGCATGTCACTAACACAAGATGGCAACACCTCTTTCAGCATGTCACTCAACACAAGATGGCAACACCTCTTTCAGCATGTCACTCACAGCATGTCACTAACACAAGATGGCAACACCTCTTTCAGCATGTCACTAACACAAGATGGCAACACCTCTTCAGCATCAGCATGTCACTAAGATGGCAACACCTCTTCAGCATGTCACTAACACAAGATGGCAACACCTCTTTCAGCATGTCACTAACACAAGATGGCAACACCTCTTTCAGCATGTCACTAACACAAGATGGCAACACCTCTTCAGCATGCATGTCACTAACACAAGATGGCAACACCTCTTCAGATCTTTCAGCATGCCACTAACACAAGATAACACAAGCAACACCTCTTTCTCATGTCACTAACACAAGATGGCGATCGTATAACTCACTACTAAATGTTGGTCGTTTTATGAACACAGTTGATGCCATAGCTCAAGCTGACTGCATAATTCCTATCAACCAAAGATATTCCCCCGTTGTGCTTACGTTAGTCGTGTCGAGAATTGGCAGTACAACAGATGCTAACATACAACGTTTTAGCAAGCCAAGCATTTCTCACTTTCTCCTGCCTATTCATGTGTGCACGTCCAAGGTCTCTTTCCTGTACTGCTTCCGGTTTGTGCATGTGGTTGTGGGTGCGATTCTATAATACCAAACAACGACATACTTAGATTTTGTAACATATATTTATGACATCATGTCAATGCTTCATATATAGTTCAAGTACTGATATACCTATGCGACTTACTTATAGGCGAGCTACCAGACCCAATCCCGATTTTCCTTACATCCTGGAGTGCGATATCTGCTTATCAAGGCCTATTTTATCTTACAGCCAGGTATGCAGGCCTCCTTCAGAACCGGTGCCGGATTACGACACGCCAGTAGTAGATACAGACTCAGTGGAACTCGAAGATGTGTTTCGTCAACACAGAGATCACAATAATTAAGCAGGAACACAAAGTGAATGAGAGGGTATGGATTTACGTCGCTTTCAACAACATTCCAACAATTACGTACACCAAAAAGGAACGCAAATGGGGACACAGTAGTCGAAAAGGCACATGACGACCAAGAGGACACGATCGTCGAAAAGTAACATCAAGAGGATACAATAGTTGAACGTTAATATCAATAGGATACAATAGTTGAACGTTAACATCAAGATGATCTAATAGTTGAACGTTAACATCAAGAGGATACAATAGTTGAGCGTTAACATCAAGAGGACACAATAGTTGAACGTTAACATCAATAGGATACAATAGTTGAAATTTAACATCAACAGGATACAATAGTTGAACGTTAACATCGCGAGGACACAATAATTGAACGTTAACATCAATATGATACAATAGTTGAACGTTAACATCAATAGGATACAAAAGTTGAACGTTAACATTAATAGGATACAATAGTTTAACATTAACAACAAGAGGACACAATAGTTGAACATTAACATCAAGAGAACACGATAATTGAACGTTAACATCAAGAGGATACAATAGTTGAATGTTAGCATCAAGAGGACACAATAGTTGAATGTTAACATCAAGAGGACACAATAGTTGAACGTTAACATCAATAGGATACAATAGTTGAATGTTAACATCAAGAGGACACAATAGTTGAATGTTAACATCAAGAGGACACAATAGTTGAACGTTAACATCAAGAGGATACAATAGTTGAACGTTAACATCAAGAGGATTAAATAGTTGAACGTTAACATCAAGAGGACACAATAGTTGAACGTTAACATCAACAGGATACAATAGTTGAAAGTTAACTTTAAGAGGGCACAATAGTTGAACGTTAACATCAAGAGGATACAATAGTTGAATGTTAACATCAAGAGGACACAATAGTTGAACGTTAACATCAAGAGGATCAATAGTTGAACGTTAACATCAAGAGGACACAATAGTTGAACGTTAACATCAAGAGGATGAAATAGTTGAACATAACTTTAAGAGGGCACAATAGTTGAACGTTAACATCAAGAGGATACAATAGTTGAACATTAATCTTAAGAGGGCACAATAGTTGAATGCTAACATCAAGAGGACACAATAGTTGAATGTTAACATCAAGAGATACAATAGTTGAACGTTAACATAAATAGGATACAATAGTTGAACGTTAACTTTAAGAGGGCACAATAGTTGAACGTTAACATCAAGAGGATACAATAGTTGAACATTAACTTTAAGAGGGCACAATAGTTGAATGTTAACATCAAGAGGATACAATAGTTGAACGTTAACATCAAGAGAACACAATAGTTGAACATTAACTTTAAGAGGGCACAATAGTTGAAAAGAAACTTAAAAGGACACAGTATAGTCGAATAGGCACATGACGAAGGACATCAAGAAGGCACAATAGGTAATATGTTAACATCAAGAGGGCACAATAGTTGAACGTTAACATCAAGAGGATACAATAGTTGAACATTAATTTTAAGAGGGCACAATAGTTGAATGCTAACATCAAGAGGACACAATAGTTGAATGTTAACATCAAGAGATACAATAGTTGAACGTTAACATAAATAGGATACAATAGTTGAACGTTAACTTTAAGAGGGCACAATAGTTGAACGTTAACATCAAGAGGATACAATAGTTGAACATTAACTTTAAGAGGGCACAATAGTTGAATGTTAACATCAAGAGGATACAATAGTTGAACGTTAACGTAAATAGTATACAATAGTTGAACGTTAACTTTAAGAGGGCACAATAGTTGAACGTTAACATCAAAAGGATACAATAGTTGAACATTAACTTTAAGAGGGCACAATAGTTGAATGTAAACATCACGAGGACACAATAGTTGAATGTTAACATCAAGGGGATAAAATAGTTGAACGTTAACATCAAGAGGATACAATAGTTGAATGTTAGCATCAAGAGGATACAAAAGTTGAACATTAACTGTAAGATGGCACGACAGTTGAATGTTAACATCAAGAGGACACAATAGTTGAATGTTAACATCAAGAGGACACAATAGGATTAAATAGTGGATTAAATAGTTGAACGTTAACATCAAGAGGACACAATAGTTGAACGTTAACATCAACAGGATACAATAGTTGAACATTAACTTTAAGAGGGCACAATAGTTGAGCGTTAACATCAAGAGGATACAATAGTTGAATGTTAACATCAAGAGGACACAATAGTTGAACGTTAACATCAAGAGGATAAATAGTTGAACGTTAACATCAAGAGGACACAATAGTTGAACGTTAACATCAAGAGGATACAATAGTTGAACGTTAACATCAAGAGGATACAATAGTTGAACATTAATTTTAAGAGGGCACAATAGTTGAATGCTAACATCAAGAAGACACAATAGTTGAATGTTAACATCAAGAGGATACAATAGTTGAACGTTAACATAAATAGTATACAATAGTTGAACGTTAACTTTAAGAGGGCACAATAGTTGAACGTTAACATCAAGAGGATACAATAGTTGAACATTAACTTTAAGAGGGCACAATAGTTGAATGTAAACATCAAGAGGACACAATAGTTGAATGTTAACATCAAGGGGATAAAATAGTTGAAAATAACTTTAAGAGGGCACAATAGTTGAATGTTAGCATCAAGAGGACACAATAGTTGAATGTTAACACCAAGAGGACACAATAGTTGAACATTAACTTTAAGAGGGCACAATAGTTGAAAAGAAACTTAAAAGGACACAGTATAGTCGAATAGGCACATGACGAAGAACATCAAGAGGGCACAATAGGTAATATGTAACATCAAGAGGGCACAATGGTTGAACAGTACAATCAAGAGGACACAATAATGGTATCATTTCTGCACAATATTTTCGTTATACTTTTTTAAATCTATGCAATGTATGCATGTGTGACATATAATCATTCCTTTAAATTGAGCTGTGATGTTGCAGTCTATATAAACTAGTACTCAAAGGAAAGTATACGGTGTGTTTGGCCAAACTTGAAAATAAAATAAAAAGTATATATAAATGAACATTTGTTTCATTTCAATAGAATATTCAGTTCTACAGCTAATGTACACAATTTCATTTCATGCAAAGTCGAAAGTACCGTTTGACTGACACTGAAAGACGCGTGGTATCATAGTCTGAACTTTTACGCAAATCAACAAGGCGTTTTATTCTGCAAAATGTCATCAAATGTTGAATCAATAGTGAGTGTGACCACCAGTGGCTTCAATACACGCCAAAACATGTCGACGCGTTGATGACGTAAGACGACGAATGACGTTGGGCGTGATCCGTTGCCATTCTTGTAGGAGACATTGTTCTAGTTGTTGAGCGGTGACAGGTGACGCTGGTAGTCTTCTGATTTGTCGATCCAGGTAGTCCCATAAGTGTTCTATCGGATTGATGTCGGGTGAACATACTGATGCTGTTAACGTTGTGCAGAAAGTCGTTTGTCAGAGGCCGTGCGTTATTCTGTTGGTACGTGGTTGTTGGTGGATAAAAGGTAACACAACTGGTCGCAAAACTTCATCACTGTATCTTCGAGCATCCAGGTTGCCATGAATAGTCTCGTTTTGAGATCGCCGCAGATCTCTCCCCACACTATCACGCTTCCAGCTCCAAACGGTCTGACTTGCTGAACGCAATTCGGCGCTACTCGTCTGTAAACACGCGCCCGACCGTCATTACTGTACAGGCTAAAAACCTAATCTCATCGCGGAACATCACACGCCGCCAATCACGCATCTGCCTACGTCGAACCCGCCTGGCCTATGTCAATCGACGACGTCGGTTTTGAAGAGTCAGATGCACTCCGCGGTAGGATCGACATACTCCATTATAGTCCGTTTGGCTTAAAATCGGAGAATTGCAATCTAACTCAACGACTAATAAGCATATAATACTCAAAGAAGCGCTGATCATAGTCACCTGGCTGTTCCTTTCTTTGCACCCCTCCCTCGTAACAAATGGTGAACTTTGTCAAAATTTTAATGATAGTTTGTTAAACAACTTTTTTAGTTTTAGGACATAAATTCTGCAATAAAATCACAGAGTTGGTATGGACTATACCATTTTTTATTTTTGTGCATTTTTATGTAATATTTGCGGTGTATTGTTTCTTTTGAGCACTAGTTTATAATTTTTCTTAGTAAGCAGTGCCCATTTTATATCATATATCATGCAATATACAATACACAGCTTACTAAGAAAAATAGGGGAATAAGATTAGTTGGTGTGGTAACTGTAATGTCGAATCCATATGGACTGTATATGGAAGTCCATACATGGTTATGTACATATAGTGATTCATAAACACATACTCCTAACATATGCGAAAACCCACAATGGCCTTTACGCACAAAGAAATCTGTTTCAAGACTTAGCCGTAGTTGGAAATTCTCTCTGGCGATGATGTTTCATATTTATGATTATAGGATTTTGTATACATGTATTTTGTATATTGTACGATACATATTGCTTTTATTCACTAATTACTGCTGTTTATATGGTCAGATATTTAGTATATATCTTAAATATGTCTTATATGCAGGATTCTCATCGTTCAAAATCGTATTAGTAATAAAGACTAGTAATCAACAAGATTGCAGTGAATAGTTTAAATGCAAACTGTTATCAATAAACCTTTATAAATCAGCTCGGCTTGAGTCGTTTTGGGGTAATGCTTTTGCATTCAGCTCAAAATATACTGACGCATTTGGTTCAAAGATTATCGTCAACTCAACAATTCCTGAAGTCCAAATAAGGTTATTGTGTGAGATTTCTGTCGCTTGTAGCAACACATTGAGACACGTATTTTGTTACAGGCATAAAGCAAATATATCTTCTAAATAAATTACCAGCGTTCTTTAAATATTTTAAAATCACGCCGAGCTAAGCCACTAATTCACGCTTGGTTTGACGTCACCCATCCATGCTCGTTTTACGAGGATCAGAATCACATGGGGTTTTCCTACAAAACTACGCTGACAACCCGAATACTGTTCAAAGGGGCGTTAAAACCCAACACAGACACATTTATCAAACAAAAAAAAGCCTATAAAAATGTTCAAAAACGTTTCAGTTGAAAAATATGAAAAAGGCTAATAAAGCGGATTCTCTATAAAGGATCGTGGTCACTCCTTGACCTAATCATGTCATAAATTCATATATATTTAAATACCCTTCAGATAGTGGTAACATGTCATCATCACAGAATCCAATGAGCTGATATTTCATGAATATGAGAAGCGTTTCAGTGAGAATCATGGTTGGTATTTGTATAAAAATTCAAATATTCACCTTCAGTACCGCTGTTCCAAGTGTGGTGATATATTAAAACATCTCAGACGTTTAGGTCTCGTTTAGGGCGAAAAAACATATTGTGCTTTGTAACCACCTAAACATTTGAGATTACATAAATATCCTCTCACATAAGACAGACACAATAAATATGCAAATAATTGATAACACACGGATCCCTTCTATTGGGTTTCACCTGACTCAATCTTAACCTAATCTTTAAGTTGGTTACCGCTGGGTAATAACATTTTATGACATTTAATTTAATTACAAAAATGGTGCAAAACGGATGCTGTGAGCGGGATTTAAGTCCGCCACAACCATACTGAAGGAACGAATATTTTCCAAACATGGCTCAAACTGAATATAAGGCTATAAGTTAATCAACATACAACTTTACATTAGGCATACAATGTTCGCGGACACCTGGTGTGATCAGTGGTGTTCAGTGACCCATTTATATACTTGTCACAGCTGGTTTTTGTATTTGCTCAAAACGGAATTTGTTTCTGAAGGCGGCCGAAACTGGGTATTCTTTTGCACGGACGTTCTATGTTTACTCACGTTTAATTCTCGTGCAAATGACACCGACGAGTTAATTCATTTGGCAATATTTGCATTATATTCACGTTTTTATTAATTTATGATATTCAAACTTTGGTAGCATATTGTGAAAGGAAGATGATGGATGAAAAATAATCTTTCCTTGGTCATAATAGTCGCAGTTCACATATAGGCGGCG